TAGTTCTAGTAGTTTCTTCGTAGACCCTTTTGGGTCTTCTAGGTATAGAATCATGTCATCTGCAAATAGTGATAATTTAAGTTCTTCTTTTCCTATTTTTATGCCTTTAATTTCTTTCGTCTAATTGCTTTGGCCAGTGTTTCGAGAACTATATTGAATAGAAGTTGCGATAGAGGGCATCCCTGTCTTGTTCCAGATTTTAGATCATTTTTAAAGTGGCTATACTGTTTTTCATTCATACACCATGTTTCAATTGCTCTATATTTTTGTCAACACTTATTTTATCAGTCTTTGATTTTAGACAACCTAGTGGACGTGTACTTGTATAGTGACTTTGACTGGCATTTCCCTGTTAAGCAATGATTTTCTAGATCTTTTCTCATGCTTATTTGCCATTCATATATCTTTTGTTTTTTGATGAAATGTTCAAGTTCTTTACCTATTTGAAAAGTGTTGTCATAGCAATCTAATAGTCTTTTTGTTTGTTTTTAAATGTTCTTGGTAAGAGTCCTTTAGCAGGTGTTCTGTATATATTTTCTCCCTGCCTGTAATTTGCCCTTTCATTTAACTAATTTGGTTTTTGAGGAGCAAATTTTAATGTAGATACAGATGAATTTATCAGTTTTTTATTCTCTTTTGTGTGTAACTTTAATAAATTTTTGCCTAACCCAATATCACAAGAAAATATTCCTGTTTTCTCTACAAGTTTTAAAGTGTTGGCTTTGATATTTTCATATGTAATTAAATTTGAGTTCATTTTTTTTTTGAGAGAGAGAGAGAATTTTTCAGTATTTATTTTTTTTTAGTTCTTGGCAGACACAACATCTTTATTTTTATGTGGTTCTGAGGATCCAACCCAGCGTCCCGCACATGCCAGGCGAGCGCGCGCCACCGCTTGAGCCTTGACTTCATTTTTTATGAATGGTATAAAATTTGAGATTTTTAGGGAGTTATTTATTTGTGTGTTTGTGTATATCTTTTTCACAGTCCAGTTATGCAGTGGAGTAAGTTGCAAGACAGTCAAAGTAAGTGCCCAGACATGTCAGGGAAGACATGATTTATTGGGAAAACTTACAAGAGATCAGGGACTACATCGAGAAGAGATCACTGTCAACCAGCTGACAGATAGTACCTCTGTCCCTTATCATGTTTTGCCAGGCAGTGCCTCCTTTCCCTCATGGAGTTTGTCCAGTGGTCGCTGTCTGACAAGTGACATGCATCCCTCAGTTCAGCTTAATGATAGGCTGCAGAAGCAGTGACATCATCAGCATTAGCTTGTTAGTTTGTTTGATCAGCATCACAAGGAGCAACTGTCCCAGTATACGTGCAAAAAAAGTAGCTCTCTACAACTAACACTAAGTTAACCTTCATTTCCCGTGTGCATAAGAGAGAGCCAAGTCCTTCAAAATATTATGTTTCTGGACTTTCTGGCCCAAGATTGCTCTCATTGTTCCATTAACTGGGCTGGGTCTTTGAGATCAGAAAGGAAGCATTTAGGGATAGGGTGTTTTACTATCCCCCTTTCTATTAGGGATGACATAGCATATGTATTGTTGAAGTATTATTTGTTCATATAACTATTTTCCCCCATTGAAATACATTGACATCTTTGTCAAAATCATTGAGCTATCTCTATGAGAGTCTATTTGTAGATGTTGTGTTTTCTTCCATGGACCTGTGTGTCTTATGTGTACACCAATACCAAACATTTTGAGATCATGTAGTGATTTAAGAGAGAACTAACAGCTGTTGAAGTTTTGTGATCAGTAACACATGGTATCTCTTCATATTAATTTGAGCCTGCTTTAATTTCTCTCATCCAGTACCTCAGAGTCAGAGTACAAGTTGTACTTGTGTTTTTTATTTCTTTTTCTTATTTCATGCAATGACTATAAACTTCAAGAATGATGTTAAATAGAAGTGATTAAAGTGTGCATCTTTGACTTGTTTTCCTATCACAGATGAAAGCATTTAGTCTTTTCACCATAGAATATGATGCTAACTGTAGGGCTTTTATATAGTTTCCCCTTATCTGACTGAGAAATTTTCTTTCTGTTCCTAATATTCTTAGGATTTTTAATCATGAATAGATGTTGAATTTTTCCAGGTTTTTTCATCTATTGAAAATCATTAAATCATTAGTTTGTGAGTTTGGGATGTAAATTGATTTTTTTTAATGCTAAACTAACCTTGTATTCTTGGGATTAACTCATTTGGTCACAGTATCTTGATCTATTACATATATTACTTGATAGAATGTATCTAACATTTTGTTAAGAATTTTTATATTGATGTCCTTGAGTAATACTATTCCAGGGGGTGGTACTGGGCTTATAAAACAAGATATGTACCTTTTCTTTTATTTTCTATAGAAAATATTTTTTTCTATTTATTTTCTATTTTGTATAGAATTTGTATTATTTCCTTCTTATATATTTGGTAGTTTAGTGGAATTCACTACTGAAGCCATCTGGGCCTAGAGTACTCCTTGTAAGAAAGTTTTAAACTATGAATTAATGTATTTAATAAGGCTATTAAAGTTGTTTATGTCTTGAGTAAATTTCAGTAGTTTGTAGTTTCATGAATTTTTTATAGTAAAGTTGTTCATAATATTCCATTAGTCTTTCAGTGTCTATAGAATCCATAATCATTTCCTTCTGGGATCGACAGTATTGGTGATTTGTAAATTTTCTTTTCTTCAGTCCAGCTAGCATTTTATTGATAGTTTTGATTCTTTTAGGGAGCCAGCTTTCTATATTGTTGATTTTATTTTTTTTTATATTCTTATTCGTTTCTGTCCACTATTTTCTGTATTGTTTACTTTGGATTAGTTTGTTGTTCTTTTTCAAGTTTCTTAAGGTGGAAGCTTACATTACTGATTTGAGAACTTCCTTGTTTTCAAATGTTACAAACTTACTGTTGCTTTGTTCTAAGTATTGCTTTGTACCCACAAACTTTTATATGTGGTATTTTAATTTTTATTCAGTTTAAAATATTGTTTTCCTTGATATTTCCTATTTGATTCATTGGTTACTTAGAATTATTTTTAAAAATTTTTAAATATTATTTGGGGTTTTTCAGTGATCTTCTGTTTTTGGTTTCTGATATAATGCTGTTGTGATAAGAGTATACATGTTAAGATTTTAATCCTCTTAAATTTAAGAATTTGTAGGTTTTATTTATTAAAGGTTAATGCCTTTGAATTTTTTTATATCTTTGCCAATTTCATGTCTAGTTATTTTATTAATTACTGAGAGGGAAGTGTCGAAATCTTTAATGGTAACCTTAAAGTTTTTCTTATTTCAAAGTTACGGAACATAGAGGGTTATAATGTTAAGATGGTTGCAAGATATAAAAGCTAAATTTTTAAAAACTATTTAATTTAGGAGGAAGGGAGTATATTTGCTTTTTAGAATTGCAAAGACTTGCATTCCAGAACCATTCCTGCTATTTGTGATCTTGGAAATCCCTCTTACCCTATTTTTCCTTTGGGTGAATAGAGGTAACAAACTTTTGGTGGCTATTGTGATGATTGGATGAGATAATACTTGTAGAATTCTTAACATGGTACCTGGCATGTATTAATTCCTAAATAGGAATTATTTTGTATTTTTAAATTTTTGTGTCTTTTCTTAACTTGCATACTAGGACATTAAATGTGCATTTTAATATTTGGTCGCTTTCATCTTGTTGACTTCTTTATTATTTCACCCTTGGCCTGCACCATGTCCGTTTTTGTTGTTGTTGTTTATTTTTTCCTCTTGCTTTTGTATGCCTCTTTTATTGACAGTCTCTTCAGAGCTTTGAGTGTACATTGCCTTGGTTGTATTGAAGCTTTTGTTGTATGTTTTTCTTCCTTGACATAATTTTACCCACCTTGCAATAAAGTAGCAAAGAAAAAGATGGAAGGGTTTATATAATAGATAAACTTTAACAACTGTAAAATTGTTCCACATTACTTTGCTGTCTGAAACAAGTTGTTTTTCTTTTCCAGATAAACCGAGAAAGCTGGTGTACAATAGAACCATGCCCAGAGGCAGCATCTCTTTTGGCTTCCCAGCAGAGCCCAGGTAAGCAGAGTTTTCCCATTTTCCAGTTTGCCTGAGAAACTACATCCAAAATGTTCATTTTTCTGAAGCCAGAATTCTACTCTAATAATAGATCATTGATTCGTAGCTCTGCCCTTCCTTAGCATGTTCCACAGGAATCAGAGGAATGGATATGTGTGATGTTCATAGGCGTCTGGTTCATAGGCATCTCATTGAAGATGAGCACAGATAGTTTTCTTAATTTTATTTTAGAGGCAACAGACTTAACATGTAGCTTTACGATTTATTAATTTATTTGTGAAATTATCTGGTGCTGTGAATTTGTGTGTGATATAGGTTTTGTAATCTGATAAAATTGTAAATATATGTATTATTAGGGACTAAACCCATGCTTCTCAATTTTGGCTACACAGTGGATTTATCTGGGTGAGCAAGCTTTCAAAATACCTGGGTCCTATTCTCTGAGATTCTGATTTAATTAGGCTGGATATGGCCTGAATCTCAGAATCGTAAGCTCATTTGGTTTTCCTCTTGGGTAGCCATGGTTGAGAACTATTGCAACTTTGGAAAAAATTGTCAAGAATTTAATTTGTTATTTACCCTTTCCATATCCTAACTTCAAGCATAAGCAGTTTGGCCTTTTTAGTGATTATTTTTAAAACTCAACATAACAGAATTTCAGATCTGAATTACACTTCTGTACTTCAGACCTGAGATTTGTATTTTAGGCAGGTGTTTTTTTTTTTTTTTTTTTTTTTTTTGGTGTGTGTGTGTGTGTGTGTGTGTGTCCATCCCAGGTGTATACTTTATCTCGAAGGTTTCTTTTTTTCTCTGTTTCTCCCTCCTTTCCTCCTCCTCCTCCTCCTCCTCCTCCTCCTCCTGTTTTTTGTTTTGTTTTGTTTTGTTTGTGGTTTTGTCCATTTGTAGTACTAGGGATTGAACCTAGGGGTACTCTGCCACCATCCCTAGAACTTTTTTATTTTGAGACAGGTTCTCCCAAAATTGCTGAGGCTGACCTGGAACTTGTTATCCTCCTGTCTTAGACTACTGAGTAATTGGGCCACCACAACAGGCTTCAGTTTTTGTTTTACTTTACAGTGTCTCAGTAGAACAATAGAGTTAGAGCAAATAAGATAATAACGTTCTTTAAGATCATTTTGTGTGATAAATACAAGATAGGATTATGATTAGCATGATTTAACAAAGCCCAGTACATGTTGCTGATGTTTTCCTATTCTTTTTCAACTAAAATTTGTTAGCATATACAGTCATATATGGCCCAAAAATAAGGATACATTCTGAGAAATGTGTCTGAAGTGATTTTTACCATTGTGTGAACATGATAGAGTGTACTTAGGCAAATCTGGGTGGTATAGGTACAATCTGCTGCACACCTAAGCTGTGTGGTATATACCATCATATATGTGGTCCACTGCTGACTGAAATATTTTTATGTGGTGCAGAAATTTGTCATTTTAAACCCAAAAGACTGGATAACATCTCAAAAAGTATATTTTCTGTTAGCTTTTTAAAAGTTAATGATGCAGTACACAAAAATTGGGGGCATATTTGTTTATGGGTTATAAAACACGACTTGTCCTTGCTATGCCCATTTTCAGATAACTATCATCCGGATATTTAAAGAATCACACATTAGAGATTGATGGAGTCTGAACTTGATTAGGCACATGTATCACATATCTGCTAAGTGCTAAGGACCAGAGTTCTGGTTACTATGTGTATAAATTATTTATGTCACTACAACTCCTGCAAGATACTAATCATTTCATTTCACTGGTATGAAAATAAAGAGTAGAGAGTTAAATTACTTCTTGCCTGTGATCTAGATTTAAGCCAAATCCATTGAACTATAAAACTAGTACTCTACTCTTGTTTATGTTGCTCTACATTATTCATTAGGTGATGTGTAGGAAGAAATGAAAGAGTTCATTAATTTTGAAAACTTAACACATGTGACACAAGATCTGGTCACCTTTGGGGGAATGCCCCCCCAACACACACACACACACACACACACACACACACACACAAAATGGAGGAGGTTCTGGGGTTATAATGGTTTAAGGTCCTTGTGTCTCCATTACTTCTTTTCCATCCCCTTCCCTATTCCCTACCCCAGCAGTCAACATTATCAGTGAACTGTTCCTCTCCCAAACTAGGTTTGTGGTCCTTTTTGCTGGCTTGGATTTATTTTCTGGGTGAGGTATTTCTAAGTCTGAATCTGGATCTTTCTGTGGATTTTCTGTTAGAATATCTTGAGCTGGGTTGTTTTCCAGTCTGGAATTTGGACATGGTCTGTTAGATTGCCAGCTGGACAATCTAGCAGCTCAGCATAGTTGCTGTGACAGCCCTTTCTTTTCTTGGCTAACTCCCTTGTTTTCCCCTCAGCCACAGAATGGAGCTTTTAATTTTTCCAAGTGGGAAAAGGGAAAGAAATAAAAAGATCACAAACCCACCAACTCCACCTAAGTTTTCTACATTCTGTGCAATGTAGGGGAGGGGACTTCCAGAATACCCATAATTTCCAATGTCTCAAAGGCAGGTCCCTTCCCATTGAACTAACACATCTGAAATAGTCCATTAACTATAGGGTCTTTTTTTTTAATTTCAAATTTTTAAAGTTAATCCACAGCCCTGACTCATTTCATGTGGATGGCATCCTTTACACAATTCTATGATGAAATTATCTTTTAATGTGTTCATTTCTGCCACAGATAAAACCCCCTCTCCCTATATATTTTTATTTGGACACTTCCCAGTACCTAAATAAATGCCTAACTACAGAAAAAGTAGTTTTACTGACAAGCAGTGCATTACCTATTCTGATTCAATGCCTCCTTCATCAGAACTTACCTGGCTGATTCAGGGTAAATGATTTTATTAATTCTTAATTTAGATAAAAACTTCCCATTAGCTCTACCCTACATCCACACCTCTCTCTCTTGCTCTCCTTCCTCCCTTTCTTTCTCCCTCTCCTACACACATACACACACACACACAAACACACAAACATCATTCAAGCATTGAATCTAAGAATCAGAAGATTCACTGGAAATTAACTGGTGCAATCTACATTCCTCCCTTTGTATATATTATAGCTTTTCTTATAATATCTTGACATAGGCATTCAGTCTGTGCTCCAACTGTCCTGGTCAAGTGACATTATTTACTTTTTGAGGCCTCAGCAAAGTCCTGAGAATAGTGAAAACTCTGCCACTTAAACTCAGTGGTCTTTGTTCAGTTCCTAGAAGAATACAGAAAGAAATATACTGCTGTCTTTAGGCACATTTTCTTCAAACTGTTGCCCAAGCTGAATATAGCCTGTTTGTTTCTACTTTTGTGACCTCATTACCATGTACACATTTTTTGTTTTATCAGTTTTCCAGTTTAAATGTTGTCTGGGAATAAACAGTCATGTGTAATATGGTCTTGAAAACACGTAGTGACAGGATCATCCCCATTTGGATTCCGGTACATTGAATGTTTATAGGATGTAAGATTATTTGTGTGTATTTGTTTTGACATCACCTTGTATTGTCAGCTCCTTTTTAATTTGCTTTCAACCAAGACTTCTGGGTAGAGATTTAATGAACTGCTGCCTTCATCACTTGGGTCACATACAGATTTGATTCAGTATACATGTATATATGTCCTCACCAAACAATAAAATAACTTAGGAGCGCCTATCTTCAAACCTCCGAAGAAGGTTAATATCTACCCACTACTTGACTTTTGGATTCTTCATCTGGAATATGTTAGTAGCAAGAATGGGAACTGGTGAGCCAAAAGAAGGATCCATGACAGAACTATTAACTCAAATGTGAAGGAACCATTGGATTTCATGTTAAATCTCTGTAATCCTATTGCTAGCAGGTCTTATGTCCCTTTGTTCACAAAGTTAATAGGAAATAATAAGTGCATTGTCAATTTCAGGTTAAGTCTTAAGGATCCTTCATGTGAGTATAATAGTTTTGTCATGGACCCCACCTCTCATTCATCAATCTCCATCCTAGATATTGAATTGAAAACAGATTCCAGATGGATACATTTTTCTACTTCAGCACATTTTTTTCTGATGTAAGATCTATTTAAAGGGAGGAAAAGTTAAGTTACATTTATTATTACTCAGTAGAAACCATAAGTGTAATACACATATGTTTATTGATAACACCCCCTTTATCTTTATACCACTCTTTAGAAAAGGTAAAAAGTTTCCAAGCTAAAATTGGCCTCAAACCCTATCACATAATTTCCTAGTAATGAACTTCAGATTTTGGTGGCAAAAGAGAATTATTCCCTAACTACCAGGAGGAACCATTACTATTTAGATAGAATATGATTCTAGATCATCGTTCTTTCGTTACCTTACATAAACATGGCTAACTCATAAGCGGCCTATGGCAAATGTATGATCCTAGAATTGGAATAGTAGAAACTATTAATTTGACTTTTAGTAGTAGAAGCTACTAATTTGAGTTCTTGATATCTAAAAAGAAAGAGAAAGAATGAAGGGATGGATGTAGAAAAGCGGGGAAAACAAAAGAGAAGAAAGGTTAGTTGCTTGGAAGAAAAGAAAAATTTTTAAGTATCAGTTGAATAAATTTTCTTTTTCAGGATGTGAGAACATTTTGGATGTTGCATTGAGCGGAGAGTGTAGCTCAAAACAAGATGTACTTCAGAGAGAATCTGGGAGTGATTCTGACCTCTTTCATTCACCCAGTGATGAAATGGACAGCATCATCTTCTCAAAGGTATTTGGGTACCTTCCCTTTTCATTTTGTTCAGTGATTCTCATGCTCCCTTTGGTCTTCCTTAAATCTCTTTCACTTTGTTCTTCTCCTATGCTCATCATCTTCTCAAGGCATATTATTTCCCTTAATATGTGACTCCTACTAGTAAATTGTGATCCAGCTGGCCCCATAGATTTTGCTTGCCATTGTAATCCCTTTTGAAAAAGGAAATGAGATTTCCAGAGTTTAGGAAAAAAGGCATTATCCAAATTTATTTTCTGCAAAATGCAGCTTGTTTACATGCAAGTTTTGGAACTTGCATTGAAATCAAAGGCATGGAAGTTCCTTTAGAATGAACTAAATCATATGACTAAATCATATGACAGTGAACACTATTCCTTGGGCAGGAAAGGACTACAACTTAGACTGTATGAGGTCATGTGTGTAAGCTAACCATAGATTCATTTTCTGATTGATGTGTGGAGGCCTGAAACTTTACTGTTGATCCTGGTGATATCACCCTTATTCATCCACCCTGCTTAATTGGAACTTTCTAGATCTTTGCTAAGGGATTCAAGCTTTCTATATAGTGAAAAATTCATGCACACAAATCAAGTTATGTTTGCATAGAGTTTGAGGCTAGGGAAGTGGGTGATGGGAGCATTTTGCTGTCTTTTGCTTGGGCTTGTTTCTCCTTGCAGCAAGTTGTTTTGTCCCATAAGAAGAGTAGAGGGCTTCTACACAAGCAGAGGGCAGATAGCACTCAATTGTGTGCCATGAGTGGTTTTCTTAGTGGTGAGAGGTGGAGGGGCAGAAATGCCATGGTAGCTGTGAAGAAGACTCTTCCTTCAGGTTTTAAGATGACTTTGGAAAAGTGGTGAGAACAGTTGTGCTAGTGGGTGATCAAGTTATCCAAGAGAGGGTGGTGATTCTGTGTTTAGAAGTTATAGTATAATAATGAAGGCATAAAGTCCTGGAATTCTGGTTTGGAACATACTGAAGCTTCTGTGAATATACCCTGTTATACTTCCCTTTCATGTTGTCCAGGGACTTTCCTATTCTGACTGGGTGTTTCCTTATCCTTTCTACCTTGTTCCTTTCTCTTCCCAAGGTCCTTGGGAAGATTTGTGGTGCAAATTTCAGGATTTCTGTCATTGTTACTCATAGTGTATTGACTGAAGGGATTCTTTGAAGTAAAAACTCTGTACGTTGGAAGAGGGAAACCAATATGACTTTTAAAATATCAGAATTTCGGTACTTTCCACTGTGCCTTCAAGGCTTTAATTGTAAGGACTTCTGTTCTCCTCTGGGGAAATATCATTGTGAATATACATGTCTCTAAAAACATTGCTTTTGTCTGAGATGAACACATTGGATGGTTTCTCTAGTTCCAGCTTTAACGTAGGCCCATTGATTGATAATGATGGTATATGAAGGTTCACTAAGTATTTATGTTTTGAAATATTAATAATAACATTTTTTTACTATTGGGATTGTTTCATGTAGAAAAACTTGGTTGTAGTCTGCCAAAGTGGTTTGTTACCAAGAGACACTTTGCATTAAATATTTTCTCTAACATTAATAAACCAAGGGCTTACTACTTGTGAAAGGAAAAGGAGAGAGACAAACTAATATTGATAGAGTGCTTACCATACACAAAGCCCTGCAACTCTAGTGGTTTTGTCTTCCTTTTACCCTTAAGGGAGTAGAGGCTCTGATTGGTAAAGAAGTTAATCCAAAATTACTGAGCTACTGAGTAAGAGAACTGAGATTTGCACATACGCCTGACTCTAAAATCTCTTTGAATTTTTTTATTTTGCTCTCAGTCTCTGAAAAACTCTTCTAAATCCAGTGATTTATTTGAAAGTATAGTCATGGTAGACAGGTCATCAGCTGCTTCCTTAGAAGTCTTCCTCATTGATCATCCACACATGGACTGTGTAATACCAGAATGTTTCAATTTCTTCCCAGGGCCTAACCTCCCTTTCCTCCTTTCTCTTCCCAGGGCTTACCCCTCCTCTTCTTCATTCTCTAAAAATATAATCTGTGGGCAAGATATTGCAACATCCTTTTCTGTGAACCATGAGTGGTGCATTAGGTCACTTCCTGCAGTCATTTATGTGACTATAGTCTTACAGAGCACTCCTTAACAGCCTGAAGTGTTCTTCACCAACTGTTCACCTTAACCTGTCTTTCCATTGAGTGTGCCTCCCAGCATATGGAACTATCTAATGAGTGTTATGAGCTTCATGTTTATTCTTATGAATATTTGTGAGTTATTAAAGTCTTTCCGTTCCTTATATCAGCAGCATAAATTTTACATTTTTAAAGTGAGAAGAAATCCTGGAATTCTTTTTGGCACTGGCTGAGAAAATGTGATCATAAAATATGCATAGTCTAGGCCACTCTGATCTAATACTTAAGATTCTTATATAAAATATTATTAGATAAAATAAATGAGTTAAGTGATTGTGGTATGTATTAGATGTTTAAAATGTGAGCTGTGATTTTTCAAGGCACATAGCAGGACTCCTTGAATATAACATAATAAATAATATTAACTAATGTTGAGTGAATAGATAAATGAAAATTAAAGGACCAGTGTTTGGGCACTATTAAGTTTGATTCCTTCAGTTATAGTAATAAAACAAAGTGTTTAGCTGTTTTCACATTTCTGTGTGTATGAGTTATATAATTTTTATACTCATATATCTTATTTACATAGTTTAACTCTGGTTGAGGAAGCCAAGCAGGCGTTTCCCCCCAACTTTTCATTATCAAAACACAGAAACATGTAGAAAAGTTAAAAAAATCATGCAGTGAAACCAAATATATCCATCTCTCAGATTCTACAATTAACTTTTTATTGCATTTACTTCCTCACATAGCAGTATTTCTGTTCATTCATCTATCTACCCACCAGTCCACCTAAATTCTTTGGTGCATTTCAAAATATATCAGTACACTTCACCTCTGAATACTTAGAATTCGTCATTTGTTTATAGTTGGTTTTTGTTTTATTTGTAAAAATTTATATACAATGAAATATACAATCTTTTAAAAATTTTTATTTTTTATACTGGAAGATTGAACACAGGAGCAACTTTATCACTGAACTAAATCTCCAGTCCCTTTTTATTTCTTATTTTAAGACAAGGTTTCACTAAGTTGCTGAGGGTCTCACTAAATTTGTTGAGACTGGCTTCAAATTTGCAATTCTCTTGCTTCAGCCCCTGGAGTCACTGGGATTATAGGCATGTGCCACTGTGTCTGACTGAAATGTACAATCTTGAGGATTCAGTGACTGTTGATAAATACATTCATTCACTTTTTAACCCAAGCCCACATGAAAATATATAAACTATAAAGATCACCTTGGAAAGTTTCTTTTTTTTTTCCTTCCCAGACAGTCTCCATTTAAACTCTCCAGAGTCAGCACTCCCCCAAGCCCCCACCCCCACCCCATGTATTAGTTTTCCATGTTTCAGAACAAGAAATGACATTATTTAGACTGGGGCTACAGCTCAGTAGTAGAGTGCTTGCCTTGCCTGTGTGGGGCACTAAGGTCGATCCTCAGCACCACATAAAAATAAAGATGTCGTGTCCATCTACAACTAAAGAAAATAATAATAATAATATTATGTTTCTTGCCCGAGTACCTAGAAGTGGAATTGTTAGATTATATGTAGGTGTAGGTTCAGTTTTATGAGAAACAGATTATTTTCCAAATTGATTATACCATTTTACACTCTCACCAGTGGTGTATGAGAACTCCAGTTGTTCTACATCCTTATTGACATGTATAATTGTTTTAGTATTTCTGGCATCCATGTAGTAGTATGTCTTCAAGGTTTTTGATTTACATTTCCTTGGCAACTAGTGTTGTTGTAAACACATTTTCTTGTGTTCATTGACAACTTTCGTATCTTCCTTTGGGGAGTTTCTATTCAAATCTTTTGACCATTTTAAAAAAAATGTATTGTTAGTTGCTGCTGAGAAGTAGAGTTCTGTGTGTAAACCTGGATATCAGTCCTTTATTAGGCTTATGTTTTGCAATTTTTTCTATGTATGCCTTGCCATTTGCTTTTATAATGATGTTGATGTGAGGTGAAGATTTTACTTCTGATGAAATGTGATTTGTTAATGTTTTCTGGTTATTACATATTGTGTCCTACTCTATTTTTGTTTTTCCTGCCTTTAGTTTTAATGTTTTTATTTAAAAGTTTTATACTTTTAGCTTTTACATTTAGCAGTAAGATCCATCTTAGTTTTATGTTAAATATTTTGGTAACAGCTCTACAGGTTGATAGCACTAGGATTCAATCCTAGCTGCATCTAGAATCACCTAAAGAGCTATTAAAAAAAAAAAAAAAGTGAATCTAGCTCTTGGCTGAGACTAGCTAAGTTAGAATCTTGAATTTGTCATTTAAATTCACTGATCCTCAGTTTTCTCAACTAAAAATGGGAATGAGAATATTTATTCAAATAGTTATAAGGATTAAGAGGAATAATATTTCAAAATAGCTTAGCATAAACCTGACATGTGATAAGTAACTAATAATTATTATTCAAGTTTATCATATTTTTTGTTTTATATTACTATTTAAGAATAGTAATAGCTTCTAAGACTTTATTCAAGTAGCATCATTTTGTTTTGACCTTTTTCATTTATTTTACCTATATAATTATTTTATAATTAAAATCTTAACTAGTTTATTTTACCCCAAATTAAGCAGAACATTGTCCTTGTGCTACTTTATAGCTTGGTTTCTGTCCCTCTAACTGAAGCTGTTCATTTAAGGCTGCTGCTTGTAAAGAGCTGCAAACTCTTGCCTTTGTCTTGCTTGGAGAGCCCTTTCTTTGGAAGTATCTGTCTTTGCCTTTTGCTACCCTTATGTCTTTTGCAGATTTTTAGAATTAGATAAGCCCTAAGGATTTTTCCTGATGGTAAAGATGATACTTTTTAGTGTATTCCAACCCTCTTGTATGCAGGAGGAAAAACAATTGTGAGAACTCAAGGGAAGAAGGATTTGTGTCAATCTCAGATATAAACACAGCTTTAGTTTTTCCAATGTTTTTCCTTCTCACATACATACAACTATTACCCACCCATTCTCTCTTAGTCTCCCTTTCTGTGTCTCTGTTTCTTTGTCCTTCTTTGTTTGGTGTCCTGCCTTCGAACTGTATCTTAGGGGAAGAACGAAAACCTGAATTATGTTTGGCCATCTACTGAATGTACCAATAGAAATACCACTGAATTATAATTCCATATAAATTAGATATCTTGGATCAGCTGATCCCGTGGCATCATTCCTTCAGACAGGAGTAATATCCGAAGTCCCTGGAAGTCATTTAGTTAGCAGACATTTTTTAAGATAAATTATCTGCCTAAGAAAGACTGACACATAACCAAGAACCCTTAACAGAAACTTTGGATCTTAGACATGGAATGTTAAATGCCAAAAATCATAAATTTTCTTTCCTTCCAACATATAAATGGAAAAACATAATTCCCTCAAACCTGGTATTTGTATGTAAGGGGGCAGAAAGAATGGGGGAAGCAATAGTTCTTTAGTCTATATTGGGTAGCTCTAAGAACTTCAGCACTAAATAGTTTCAGGAACTAGAAAGCAATTCTGTTCTTAAAAAATTGGAAAATTTACAGAAAGTTTCAGTGTCATCCATGATTTAAATGGACCTTACCTTTCAATAGGCCTCGTATTAATATCTGACCTCTGTTAGATCTGTTGAACCCTTTCTTATTAGATGTCAAGATAACATAAAAAAGTGATATCTATAGTCAAGATGATTAGCTATAGCAAGACCATGACTATAGTCTAGATATGATTTTCAGTTTGCCACCCATTTTTATTCTACAGGGATCATGTAAAGACATGATGGAGTTGCAGGGACAGCACTTGAAAACATGTAAAAGTATTGGGGAGAAAGTAAAGATTCCTTTAGATTTGGTCCAGCATTGAGGAAAACTATTTGTCTTAGTATTTAACAATTGAACTCAGTTTTAGTTTCAGAATATTGTTCTGCTTTTGCATTTTTGGATAATACACAAAAATACATGGGTGAGAGAATATTACACTATGTGAACCTTACTTTTATCAGAAATGCAGGACTGGAAAAAAAAATCAGAGTTACTGTTAAAGACTCCTTGGTCATTCCTCAAAATGTCATACTACACACCAGAGGAAAAGGCTACATTGAGGATAAGTTCTAGACAGATCTCTTCTTTTTTAAAACACATGAACAGGCCATCAAAGATTTTCCCATTTTGTTTTAATGTTTTGGGAAAGGGAAGATGTTTATTTTATGAGTTTCAGATTCGCAAAATGCAAAGTGATTTTTTCAAGATAATAACCTTCTAAGAGTAGATGCCAAAGTAAAGAAGCACCTGTTCTGCTGTCATGAGTCATTTCCAAACTGGGAGGAGCTAACCTATGAGAAGAATATATAGTAAATGGAAAGTAACTCAGAGGTTGTGTTGCCTTTGAAGCCCTTCTTGTGTTTTTTAAAACAGGCTTGTCTCATTTTGCTTATTGATGCCCATTCTGTTTGTCCCCTGCTATTATTTTGAGAATGAGAAATTTAGGGAACTAGGTGAATATATTAATTCTAGTGCTGCTGTTAAAAATTACAATAATTAGGGATGTGTCTCAGTGATAGAGCATTTGCCTGGCATATGTGATATCCTGAGTTTGATCCCTAGCACTCACTGAAACCAAACAATCTCCCCTCCCCAAATCTGGGTGGCTTGAACGAACAAATTTATTCTTTCACAGTTATAGAGGCTACTTGTCCTGAAATCATGCTGCCTACTGAGTTGCTTTCCCCCTAGAACCTCTGAGAAAAAATCTTTTCTGTGCATCTCCTAGTCTCTGGAGCCTTTTGGCAGCCCGTGGCATTCCGTGGATTGTTCAATCTTTACTTCAGTCTTCATGTGGAATTCTCCTGTATCACTTTCCCCTTCATTTCATCTTGGATCAAGGGCCCACACTACTCCACTGTGATCTCATCTTGACCCTATTTCCAAATAAGGTCACGTTCTGAGAAGGACACGTGTTTGAGAAGGACACGTTCAACCCACTGTAGTGAGAAAGCTAAGACATTCTAGAAGTATTTTCAATAGTTGGCATTTTTGACCATTTCCATTTTCTTTATTTGTGGAGAGTGTCTCTGTGAATAGGAATCCTTTAGGATGGCCATATCATTTCCTCATTAACTTAAAAAGAACTGTCAGTGATTTTATTTTATAATAATATTTATCATTACTTTAGAATTTACTTGATGAAGTGCAGTTTATTTTGTAGTTTGATACAGTGAGGGGAGGGGACTTTTCTGATACTTAGAGATCTTGTCCTTATAGAGTTTTTAAAGATACTTGAGATAACGGAATAGGGCAGTTTGGAGTTGAAATCAACTTTGATTTGAATCTTGATTCTGCCACTCACTGCCTATGTACCTGGGAAAGTCCATTAAATAGCCTGGGCCCTGGTTCCCTGACAAGTACTCTGATCCCATTGCATTTTCCCCTCTTCCCTCTCAATCTCATTTTACACATTATATAAAAATGAATTAATCTAGCAAACTATACTGAGAGGGGTGGTCAACAGTAGATGAGATCCAGCCAAAAAGGTACAAAGGTGCTTTTATAAAGTAGTATGCTTTTGGTCATGAGTATTTATAATTAAACCTTTTAAAAGACTGTCCTTCAAGTACAGGGTTTGTTTTCTATTCCAAAGCTGAAAGGACTCATTGGCTCTCATACTTTAAAAAATCTTTCTCTAAGAACCACATATTTCTTCACTCTAATTAAAACATTGAATTAAATGACTAATTAGAAATATACTTGAAGGGGAGGTGTCACAGCATGCCTTTCTCTATTCCTTGTTCCTTGCCCTGTTAGAGTTCAAAATAAAGATATTAAGGAAGTGCTTATAAGTGAGAATGTGACCATGCATCTCTTAAATACTTAAAAACAGTCTTAAGGCCTTTTGTATGCTATGAAACTCATCTTACTTATCAAGAAGTAGTGTGTATTGGGCAACTATGCCTAAAATGTGCCCACTTCCTATTATGCTCTACAGGTTGGGCAGGAAAAAATCATTGTCACTTTATCAAAGACCTCATTGCCAGGACTGACTGTTTTGGCTTCATAATATTCAGCCAAGTTAAATGAGAAGAAATAATAGTTTTCTTCTGTTTTGATATTGGTGGCAGAGTTAAGGTGGGATCAGAAGCTATTCTGTGTTTTTCAAAAGGACACTTAAAAATACTTAGGTACTTGCTTTTGGAATCTTAACTTTACTACATTATTCTTGTAGCCATACAGGTTGTTTTGTTTCATTTAAAGCTTTTGAAAAAGTTAACTCTTAATTCATTATCATATTGTACTTTTCATGCAGCAGAAAGTCTAGAGACAAATGGTTCCCCTCATTTCAGTTGATCATATTCATTAAAAAAATTACTTGTAGTCTAGTACGACTAGTAAGATGCCAGGAGCTAGACCTAGAATATTTCTATACTGAAGGCCAACTGCAATAATGCTTTAAAAACAAAAACAAAGCAACAAGTCTGTTCTAAGGCAATTATTTATCTTGTCCACCTTTGATCAACTATGAAGCCATTGGCTTGTTCTAGAGTGATTGAGACTTCTGGTTGATCCTGCCAGTTTCAACTGTATGTATTTTCTCTCCATTACAGCCGGAGGAAGAGCAGTTGGTCTGTGATATTACAAGATCTGGTTCTTCTACTGATGACACAGCTTCTCTGGATCGACATTCTTCTCGCGGCAGTGATGTGTCCCTCCCTCAGATTTCAAAATTGAAGAGATCTAGAGACCAGCAAAGCCATGATGGCTTCTATAGCCATGGGGTGGGAGTTGAGGGTCCAGAAGGTGAGAGTGAGCCTGCTGGCTCTGGGGAAATTGAAGAAGAGGAGATGGACAGCATCACTGAAGTACCTGCAAACTGCTCTGTCCTGAGGAACTCCATGCGTTCTTTGTCCCCTTTCCGGAGACACAGTTGGGGTCCTGGGAAGAATGCAGCCAGTGATACAGAAATGAACCACCGGAGGTGAGATGAGAGCCCATTTACTTAATGTCTCAGTGTCTGCTTATTTTTGAGAAGTTTCTGATTTGGTAATATTATCAGTGAAAGATGTTAGGAGACACCATGGTATTGAAGAAATAACATCGGCTGTTGAATCGGGAAGATCTGTGTTCAAACACCAGCTCCATAAATTTAACATGTAGGAAACCTAGGCAAGTCATTTGACTACTCTGAGCTTTAATTTTCTCATCTGCAAAACACTGGCCTTTCAGAATATTTGTAATAATCAAGTGAAATGTGTCATTTAGTGAGTTTTGAATAAATAATAATGTTTATTCTTGTCAGATTTGTTAATGAAATTTGTGAATTAGAAAATATTGGAGCATGGGGCCTGGGGTTGTGACTCAGTGGTAGAGCACTTGCCCAGCACCTGTGAGGCCCTGGGTTCAATCCTCAAAAATTAAATAAAAATTAAACCACATAAATTGTGTCTATCTACAATTAAAAAAAATATATTAAAAAAAAAAGAAAATATTGAAGCATGGCATGATGGTGCAGGAGGATTGCAAGATCAAAGCCAGCCTCAGCAACTTAGCAAGGCCCTGACCAACTTAGTGAGACCTTGTTTTAAAATAAAAGAATTTTTTTAAAAAAAGGCCAGGGATGTAGTTAAGCACTCCTGGGTTCAATTCCTGATACCCCCAACAAAAGGAAAAAGAAGAAAAGAAAATACTAGAGGGAATGCTTTCTTGTCAATTTTCAATTAAGAAATAAATATGAAGTCTTAACAGTCTTTGACACATCTCAGTTTTTTAGAGTGATTCCTGAGAATTAAACCTTCTGTTTCTAATGCAGAAAGTTTAGATGAAGTCTAAATGATCAATTTTTAATCCTCAGGAGAGCACAAGACTCATGAAATACTATAACCTTATTGGTATTTCACCACATGTCATATACTTTGAGGGATTTTTGCAAGTTTGGTCCAATCTTAGTCCTTCAGTTTGGCAGTAACCAAAACAGAAGATAAGTTGGATTTGGCTTCTAAACACTGGCTGCCTTTATGAATTCAAGCAGGTGTTTTACCTATAAAGAACACATACCCAGTATTTACCAGGCTAAACCTATTCTACTTTCTTTATGAGGAGACCAGGCTAAGAGAGGAGACTGATGATTAAATGTTGTAAACAACTCAGCTGAAACAGTCTGAGAACCTGCCTCAAAATAAAAAGGGCTGGAGATATGGTAAAGTACCTCTGGGTTCAATCCCCAGTACCAAAACAAAACAAATCCTAGGTTATATAAAAATCAGTTTCTTACTGCTTTCTTTCCAAGTTTTAAGCAAACTGTATTTTGCAAAAGCATTCACATAGTAGAAAATATGAGAACATAGGGAATGATCCCTACAACCAGAATTTTCTCCCTGAAGCAAGGAACTTTTTTTTTTTTAATGTTTTGTAGTTGTTGATGGACCTTTTTCTTTTTCTTTTTTTAAATTTTTTAAAATTTTTTGTCTTATTTATTTATTCATTTGCAGAGCTGAGAATTGAACACAGTGCCTCACACATGCCAGGTCACAACCCCAGCCTAAGGAAATTTCTTAATAGGACATCCTTGTGTTAGATGCAAACAGCATCCCAGAATAAGTGTTAATTTTATATATAAACACATTTTTTAATAACCCACTGTGAATCATGATTTGATTTCAGAGCTCCATGCTACTGTATATCATATAGTGCACATGAGGAAATTGAAGCTCATATTAGATGATATGTCCAAGATTACATGATGATCGTAAGATCAGAGATTAGAACCCTATAACATAAGTTGCTTATATTTTTAACCTGTAGATCATGAATTGCCTGTTTTAATTTAGTGCTAAGGATTACCTACCACCACTATTTTTAATACTTTGGGAGATAATGGAATGAGAATTAGGTTTTAATTATCACTCTAATAGTTTGACTGGTTCTTTTGGTGTTATCTGCATGTAGTGTTACCTGTATGTTAAAGTCTTAAGGAAAATCCTTTTAAAGTTTTGAATGACACTTTTTTCTGATCCCTTTACTTTTATAATGTAATAAACTTAGTAAGTTGTCATCTTGATAAGTAGCCCTTCACAGAATCTGTCAGGCCTTTTTGGTTCCGATATTTTTCTCATTCTACATTCTTTCATTTTCTTACTCCCTGTGCTATTTATCTTTGGGGATTATCTCTTTTCCCAGTGTGGTGTCTGATTATTTCATGCATTTGTACCTCATTTTGTTTCACCTGCATCACTGACCTCTTCCATCATTCATTTTCAGTTCAATGCGAGTTCTTGGGGATGTTGTCAGGAGACCTCCCATTCATAGGAGAAGGTACAGAGTTCACAAACTTGATGGACTAACCATGTCGCCTCTGAGCATATACTAACAAGCATTTCATCCTGCTTAATTCATAATTAGACAATTTCTTGTCCCTCTTCTCACCTCCTCCCACCTCAGTGTTAAGGATGACACCCAGGGCCTTTTGCATGTTATGCAAGAGCTCTTCCACTGAGCTATAACCATCATCCCCCTGAACAGACTATTTTTAAATAACATCACTTCTAATTCAGGCAAATAAAATATCAGTACTTATTAATTGCTTATGTCAATTCTATATGAAGTAATTTTTAAAATTTTTTTTCCTATTTTCTTAAAATATTTGAAATATATTTTTCATCTTGTGCTTCTTGGTTCAGATAACTTTGGTAATAGAGTCTCACCCAACTTTTATTGGAGAATTCAAAGTATTTTCTGTATTGTGCCTATATAATGGATCCAGGGGAATACCTTTCTTTCTCTTTCTCTCTGGAAAAGAAGAATCAGAAATATGTATGTGCTTACACACAGGTCCTAAATATTTTCAACACATTCTTTAACAATATGATGAAAGACTTTATTACTAGGTCAGTTGGCAGTTTCCATTCTGTTGTTGACTTTGTCATTTCAGAAAGCAATTAAGAGGCATAAGCCTTTGAATTCCTTAATTATTGTGTTGGATAAAAATTTGAAACTAAAAATAAGTAATTTGTAAGCTAAGTTACTTCTAATCACAGAAGTGCTGATGTGCTTCAAATTTGCCAAAAGCTACAATTTGTTTTACTAATTAAAATAACAATGAAGTTTAGAAGTCGTTCATCCATTATTTGGAAAATACAATTCTGTTAATATTAGGTTCTCATATTGAGAGATATTTATAAAGAAGTATTTTTATCTATCAGCTAAGTGTGTTGGGAATCAGGCAAATAGTGATTCGCCTACTTCATCTTTTTCAAGTGAGTCCTTCCTTTAATTCCATATTTTAGGCCAAAAATTGAGCTTACATTCAAACAGTATCATGAATCTTAAATGATCATGTCTTTGGTTAAATTGCCCTTCAGGGGAGGAACTTGTTCAAATGCCTTCTTCAATAAAAGGTATTCTAAAATCTTTGGAAATGTTTTTGTCAGGCTCTGTATTAGAAGCTCTTCACTATGAACTTTTTAAAACGTGCACTTGATGACAGGGTGGAGGATGCAAGTTACTGGAAGCAGTTAGCATATCGATTTAAATAATAGCCCAGTTACAATTTTACCCTTAGTGAAACTTTTTTTTTTTAGGAAGAACATGATGTATAATTTAAAGTTTATAAAATTGAAACATTCCAACAGGAGAGTAGAGGAAGTGTTTGTTTTTTAAAAGTATGAAACTTATAAATCTCAAAGCCAAAAAAGAACCATTCAGTATTATACCCCTTACTTACTTGAGGAATTAAAGAATTTATGATGTTGTCCAAAAAATACCATAATTATTAAATGATTTTTTCTGCTAAAAGGAAGGGACAGATATTATAGACCATCTGCAGTTTATTGTGGATCCTTGCAGATATTATTATATCTTTTTTGGGTCCCTATTGTTCTTCATCTTAAATTTCTTTGCAGTCTTTCATGTTCCATGATAAGTCTTTGTAGTCTTATCATGTTCTGAGAGTCAGATGTTTTAAACTGTAGAAAGACATTTTGAAGAACGATTATTTGGCAACGTATATTCAGTTACCTGATTTGCCATGATCTGTTTTTCAGTAAGTTGGATATTTAGGTACAGTGGCCCAATTTATTAACAGTTTAGAGATTTAAAAATTAATATCTTCCAAAAATGTATTTCTGAGTCTTACTTATGTTTGTAAAATGTATCTTGTTTCTGTTTACCCAGGTAAATTATAAGTCACTCTGATCCTGTTTATCAGAGATGTGTCTCAGCTATGTTATTTCTGCTTTCTGCTTTTGCACTTATGAGCTTTGTACTATTAATTTTAATGTGATTTATACTCTTTTATATCATTTAATTGGGGGGGGGTGTTAACCAGGGATTGAACCCAGGGGTGCTTAAGCACTGAGCCACTTCTCCAGCCCTTTGTTTTATTTTTTATTTTGGAACAGGGTCTCACTAAGTTGCTGAGGCTGGCTTTGAACTTGTATTCCTCCTACCTCAGCCTCCAAAGCCACTGGGATTTCAGGTGTGCGCCACCGCACGCCCAGTGTTTAAATTATTTTCAAATGCTGTTTTAAAGATTTCCTTTTATAAGAGTCATAGGAGAAGTTGTGCCCCCGCTATTTTCTTTCCTCTGCCCCAGAAGGCCACTTGACAATCAAGCAGTTCTTAGATGTATTCAGGATGGGTGTTTTTGGTGCCTGCATGCCTTCCCATTCACAAGAGGCAGTAGGGAACCCAGCAGTTTTACTATTGTCCAGCAGCTCTGTTTTTATTCCTTTTGAAGAAAAAGCATACATCACTTAACATTTTAAGGCCCAAGTTACAGGTGTGTGTGTGTGTGTGTGTGTGTGTGTGTAAAATTTAAAAATTAATATCTTTCAAAAATGTATTTCTGAGTTTGTAAAATGTGTCTTGTTTCTGTCCACCCAGGTAAATTATAAGTCACTCTGATCCTGCTTATCAGAAATGTGTCTCAGCTATGTATATATATACACACACACATATAGACAGACACACACACACACAGACATACACATATTTTAAATATTTTTTTAGTTGTGGATGGATACAATATCTTTTTTTTTTAAGAGAGAGAGAATTTTTTAATATTTATTTTTCAGTTTTCGGTGGACACAACATCTTTATTTTATTTTTATGTGGTGCTGAGGATGGAACCCAGCACCCCACACATGCCAGGTGAGGGTGTTACCGCTTGAGCTACATCCCCAGCCCTGGATACAATATCTTTATTTATTTTTATGTGGTGCTGAGGATTGAACCCAGTGCCCCACACGAGAGAGGCAAGTGCTCTACCACTGAGCTACAGCCTCAGCCCCCCCACATATATTTTAATGATAATTTCTGTTAATCAAAAATTCTGACTCAGAACGCTGGAAGTTTGTTTGGGGGAATTGGGAGGGTAGATTCCTGACATGTTGATACAGTTTTCTTCACAGAGTAACTGATACTTTCAATTGGTTATTTTTTTAGCTGGCTATATGTATTTAGCCTTTCCAACCTCAGATCAATGAAAGGAAGTAGATGATCAAATTATTTTTTTGTTTGTTTTTCTTTAATCTTGTGGGCACAATGGATATTAACTAAAATTGAAAAGATAAATTTCTAGCTCAGTACTATAGAATTCTAAGGGGAAAAAAATTCCCGTTATTACATAAAGTCCAAGGGAATATGGCCATTATCACATGCTTTATTTTTAGCAGGTGAGCCTAGTAAGTAGCTTTTGAAGATGTGATATAAACTGAATATCGTGCAAGATTTATGAATTGTCTCGTCTAATTTGGACCCTTACGGAAAACACTGAAAAAAAAAAAAAAAACAAAACTGATGACTCAGTGAGCCCACCCTAGCACAGTTTGTCATTGTTCCTTTTAGTCCTGGATTAGAACTCCTCGTAAGAGTGCTTTGGAGGCAGTGTGGTATATTGAGGAATCATCCCAATAGTGGAGGTGAAACACCCTTCTGAGAGTGTCTGAGGAGGAAGCCAGGAATGGGGTAGGCCCTTTGCCAGGGGATCGCTTGAGAAAATTCTTGGATTTCAGATTGGACTGATTATCCTGTAAAGAGCTCAGTCTTTTCAAAAACATTGTCTAAATGGACATCAGTTGAACAATTTTAAGTTTCTGTGGCTGTTATTCTAGCCTTTTTCTAAATTCTCAATGTTACATTCCTAAATTTTTTGATGATTAAATAAATCCATCAGTCTCTAACTATACCCTTTCCTTTTAAACCTAATAACTCTATACTTGTTTCCCTTTTTCTCCCTCCATTTCTGTTTCTGCCTTTGATGTCATCTCCAGTATGAGCTGGTGTCCTTCTGGTGTGCAATACTCTGCTGCCCTGAGTGCTGACTTTAATTATAGAAGGTATAGTATCATTGTATGTCCAGCCATCAAATGAGAAACTATAAAATATGGCATCTGGCTTTTGGCTTGGAGCTAGCTGGCTTCTGTGTGGCTGGAATGTATATGGGCAGCTTTCTTTGTCTGTGGGCATAGTGTTCCATTGTCTCTGCTCTGGGTATCACTAACTCAGTTGACGGGTGTGGCCTAGGAGAACCCAGTGATGTATCCTGATGTATCATGTTTGTCTCAAGAGCTGTAGATATGGTGTTTTCTATACAGACTTGTCTCTGTATAGTAGACTACGCCTCTCTTTGTTTTGTTCTGTTCACATTCTCAGATGAGGAAAACAATGAAAGAAGCAAGAAAGTTATTAAGATGCACTGGTTTCTGTTATGCTTCTAAATCCACCAGTCTCTTCAGATTCCAAATTCAGAGACTCCTCATCATTTCATATTTTTCTTTTAAATGAGCAGCCAAATTTAATTACCAAAATATTTTTAGTATTAAGTTTTGTGGAAAACATAGATCTGGTTTTCTCAGGCTTTTCTAATAACTCACAATACAAAACTAAGTTTCCTTTCTTCTTATTCCTAGTATTGAAAATGAGCTTTACAGATGTATTTACTTGTAATTAGTCATAATCTCTATTGTCATATTAAAATGAGGAAAACCTATTATTTAATTTACCCAGTAGAGAAAATCATGACATTATGACTTTAGTTTATAATAAGTAATTTATGAAGCCAAAAAATGCCATAGAAGGCTTTTTGTCTGGCATGTATGAACTTAATTGTAACTGTTAACTGTACAGCTTTCCCAGACCAGAGGTAACTAAATAGCTTCAGTACACCTCCAGATATAGTTCAAACTGGTTGTTAACTGGGGACCTGGTCAGCTACAACTATATTTTGAGAACTTACTTATTTTAAAGAAGTTCACACTGCATTTATAACAAATGCAAATTATTCAAGTTTGCAGACCCACGGAAGATAAATAACTAAACCCTCTCTACATAGCTTCCTGTTACAGAAAATGTTTCTAATTGCAAACCACAGAATCTTTATCCCAAAGATCCCATTTAAAATTCCAAACCCTGTTTTTTTTTTTCTTTCACTTATATCAAGACAGAAGAACTCTTAAGACCCTGTAGCTTTTTAACATTTTTTCTTTAATGTGAGGTGTAATGTCTGTGTATCTGCAACTAACAATTCTCAGGAAGCCTGTCACCAGTTATTATCTAGACAGGCGAATACAGATAGTAATGCTCATGAGTAAGAGTAGGGTTTCTTGGGTGGAAGTATACCTGTAAAGTTGGAAAGGTCAACTAGAATGTAATTGTAAAGTTATAAAAAGTACCCGACACACGGAAACCGGCCACTTTGCTTTCTGGAAGTTACTAATATTTTCTCTGTGAAATTTGGCATGTAACAGAGATAGAGTCTGGCAAAGATTAATTACAACTGATTAATTTTTAAAAAATGATAGTAAGATAAATATGGTCTATTGAAAAATGTGAGAAAATTATTTTAGTTTAATATTTAGATGAGTTGAACAAAGTGAAAAAGATCTATGTGTAGTATTCTTAGCATTCCAGGTCCTCTGGGGGCAAAGGTGGCTGGCATTCATTGTGACAGGCCCTTACAGAGAGTTTTGGTAGATGACACAGAAATACTATATGAGCAAGGGAGATAAAACTAAAGGGATTTTGTGTCCTCTTACCATTCCATAACATACAAACAGATTGAATGAATTCCTGTGCTCTGTGTTCAGTTTCAGTCTGGAAGGCTTGACAGGAGGAACTGGTGTTGGAAACAATCCATCTTCATCTCTAGAAGTAAACTCTGCAGACTCAAAAGAACTCAGACACTCTTTCAGTGGGGAGGAACGGGGTGACTCTTTGGTGTCACTTTCAGAAGAGGATCTGGAGTCAGACCAGAGAGAACATAGGCAGTTTGATCAGCAGGTAAGGCTGATGTATCTATATATTGCTAATTTTGGGGAAAAAATATATTATTTCCCCCCCAAAAAAGAGTTCATATTAAGAAATAGAAGGCAAACCTCTGTTAGTATAATGCTAGTAGCTATGCTTACTTGCCCATTAGTAAGATAGCATTGAAGCAAGTTTTTAGTACTTTGTATTAATTTTAAAATACCATTAATCTGCATAGACTTAAATATTTTATCAAAGCCAACTTAGTAGAAATGGAAAAGTATTGAGGATATTCAGTTGAATTTTTCTTCCTTTTACCACTTTAGTAATACAGTGAGTCTTGAAGTATGTTACATGTCATTCCTAAATTTCCCAGTTCTCAAACATTATGTCCCAAGTTTGTACTTTCTAGAAAAAATACACTTTGTTTTACTACACTGTCCAGGAGATGACTATTGATTCCCTCTGCTTTCTGATACTACCAGAATTCTTTACAGAACATCTACACTCCTGCCCTCTCTTTGTCACCACCTAATCATCTCTTAATTTCCCCTGCTAGCATATGCTTGAAACTCCTTTGACCATAGTCCTGTCTTATCAAGTCATGGGCCTTGTCAGTCAAATCAAGTGACTTGATCCTATTTTTTGTCACATTAGGCCCCTCATTGTCACCTCTGACACCCCAGAGTAATTTGAGGGTTTTTTTGTTTTTTTTTTTTTTTGTTTTTTTTTGAGGCGGGGGGATTGAACTCAGGCCCTGTGCATGGGAGGCAAGCACTCTACCAACTGACCTATATCTCCAGACCGCAGAGGAGTTTTTGAATTGAGAATTGTTATTATATGCTATTGTTATTATATCCTACCTTACCCACAGTCCTCCTTCTTTCTCTTGGGCAAGGAGACTCTGGGTTAATTTCTGAAAGAATGTGGAATACCACTTAATTCTTTCAAATGAAACATTTATAATAAAACACACAAAAGGTAAAGTGTGTGTCTTTGAATAGTGACTATAGTTTGAGATAGGAATTTAATGAAACATTTTTAAATAAATATTAACAACCTGTTGTTTGACTTGATTACTGGGCTTTTTGTATAGAAATTTAATTCCTTATTTCATCCTATTTAGCATTGGCATGACTAAATATAAATTTGGTACTAAAAGATTATCTTGGCAGTGAATTTATGATTTTTTTAAGGCCTGATGAATAAAGAGAATTTAGGCCTAAGGAAAATCAAATTGAAGATATAAAGGAATTTTTCCACTTTTTGAAAATTTTTTAAAAGTTTCTATCTTTATCAACCACATAAGAAAAAGTTAAAAAACAAACAAACAAACAAAAAGACTGTAGAGAATATGCTTATTGATGCAAGTGGTTTAGATTTATCCAGCCTGATGGTGACAAAAGAAAGGAGGGGAAATAGTAAAAATTATTTGGTGACTATCAAGTATAACTTTGATGAAGGTAAATAAGCCATGAAAAATACATTGCATTTCAAATGGATGGAATCTTTGGGAATTCAATTACAAGGCCAGATAAAATGCCCAAATTGTAGATTTGCAAAGAGAATCAAGTACTTGGAATCAGTGAATCCCTTCAGATTCATCTCTCAAAATCTTGTAAACATGAGAACTTCGAGCCCACTTAAGCGACCTAATAACATGTAATTATTTGTGGAGTAGTATATTAAACTGAGAATTCCTAGCTGATGGTCTTACTGCCTCTTTTCATTTCTTTGGACAGGTTTTAATGAGGAAATGAGATTATTTTAGTTTGCTTAATATTATTTTATATGCTACCTTTTCTGAGACTGATATTTTCAGGAATCTGACAGACCCTTTTAAGACAGAGTCATCTGTGATATTTACACTGATGTCTTTCTGAAATGGACCTTCTGATTGAGTCTTCAGATAAAGTCAATAAGCTAGGTAAAATTCAGCATTTTAGTGCCTTGCTGTGTATATCCTCCCTAGAACTCTATGCTTACCCATATTTTTCATCTTGTGTGCAACCTCAGAGCAGGTATTTGAGCTGCTTCTATCTCTCTGATCTGTACAAATTGCCTGCAGCCAACTTCCTGTTGAAAGTCTGTGCCTTTTGCTGAGGTCATTTTTTAGACCTCATGGTTGTATTTGAAACATAGCAACTGTTTGCCTTGGATTCCATGGTTATACACGGAACAAGCTCTAAATAATCAGAAGTCTGGCCCAATTGAGTCGAGTTCATGCTAGTAATGGATTTTCATTGCTTCCCTTTCAACATGTGTGAGTCATAAGGAGACAGATTTCATCCTACTAAACAGTGAAGAGACTGATGATAATTAACATTGGTTAACAGAATGAGCTCTCTCAAAAGAAATGGGGAGGAAGCCCTTTACCACCAGAAGCGTGATACTGTCTAACTTTCAGGGATGTTGAGCAGGAACCTCTGCAGTTGGTTGGATTTTATGGCCTTGAAGCTGCTGTGAATTTACTCAGGGAGTTAAGTTACTGAATTTCAGTCACCCTCATGTCCATGTAGAATCAATCTTATCTTAGAAGAGGAAATGAAAGAGATTGAGGTTCTTTCCAGACGCTCTGCTGTTTCGCTTATGATCTTTAAACACTTTTACTTCCATCTCAGTTTTCAACTCTTTAAAATCAAAGTAATATTACTAATATTCTGAATTTCTATAGATAGTTTTCAAAGAACAGGTACCACATGTAGTTTGGTATTTCCAGAGTAATCATTTTTTTTTCAAATTGTGAATCTAGCACATATTCATTAAGGACTTACTTAGTTTGAGATATTATTTGAGACTCTGAGAGATCTGAAACCACTATAAAGGATGACTACTTTATCTCTGCTTCAGAAAACCTGAGTAACTTCTCAGAAGTTAAGCAGTTACTAAGTGACATAGGCAGACTAGAATCTAAGTCTATCTGACTAGGAAGAATGCTCTTAGCTCCCTTCTAATCTGCCTTAATTCACAGGGTTGTGTCTGAGCATAAATTCTGTTTTTGTCAAGAAGTATTAGAAGGTGTACTTAGTACCTGTTCTTTACTCTTTTACTTTATAGACATGTCACAGACCTAAGCAACGGGGATTTAATTATTGCACATCAGCCATTTCTTCTCCATTGACAAAATCCATCTCCTTAATGACAATCAGCCATCCTGGATTGGACAGTAAGTATTATTACTGTTTGAAAAATGAAACATATCTTATCCACTTTCTTATCATATTTCTTACTTTAAGGTCCTATAACATTAACTTCCAAAATTTGCCTGCTTCTTTCTCTGAATAAATGGTTCAGCACTGAAACAGATAAGGATACAGAGTTTGGAATCTTTCTTTTTTTGCTACTTAAAAAAATCTCCTTAATACATTAAATTTACTATATTCTTGGGTGTAAATCTGACAGTTTTCTTAACTTTTTGTTTTAATATAATTTCAGACTTGAAAAATAAATGCAAATGACCCTCATCACACACATAGCATTAAAAAAACAGTACAAAGAAGCCTCATAAATTCTTCATCAGAATTCCCAAATGTTACCATAATACTCATTTTTTTTCAGTCTCTATCACTCTTTAAGTTTCTTTTTTCCTGAAACACCTGATAGAGTATGTATCACAATGTTTTCTTTTTACCTCTAAATAATCTATTGTATATTTCCTAACAAAGATGTGCTTTTATGTTACTGTGGAACAGTTATCTGAATCAGGAAATGCAATGCTGATAAATTTATGTTATCTGATATGCATCCCTTATTCGTATTTAAAATTTTTTCACCTATTTTTGCATCTAGGACCTTATCCAGGAACATATGTCAAATTTTAAGTGGCCATGTCTCTTTAATCTCTTTTAATTTGAAAGTATTCCTCAGTTAATAAAGATCAGTAGAGATACCCTCAACAGGTAACTGACTTGAATACATCAAAACTGTCAAGCTCATGAAGGGCAAAGACTAACCGAAATTCAGTTTTAGTGAAGCAGAACCAGGAGGAACACTAGTGGAATTGTATGCAGAGTCATGCCCATTGATGTGTAGAGTTGGTACATAGAGATGTCGTGGTATCCATAAACACAGGGTGTTTGTAGATAAAAGATGCTGAGAAACATTTGAACTGGATAAATGCCATAGAAAAGCATCATGTTTGAAAACACCTCCTCCAAAAGATAGATAGATAGATAGATAGATAGATAGATATAATATATATTTTTTTAAACAAGTAATTGCAATATGAGACCTTGATATAAAGGTTAAGTCAAAGAGTGAGTGATGCACGATATTCTTTGCTGAAAGGCCAAGTATTCTGGATGCTGAAGCAAAGGAGCAAACACAAGCTGTTTGTATCCATGGTGTTTTTTTAGTGTCTCCTGATTTTATAACTCAGTTGGAAACAATGGAGCCAAAACAGCTTCCCTATATCAGTGGGATGTTTTTTCTTACTTCATAGCTTACTGCAAGCCTATAATATATATTATAGGAAATATATTATATAATATATATATTTCCTATAATGTCTGACACACAGTTTCCTTGTGGATGGAATACTTTTATTTTATTGTTTTTCCTCCTAAAGCAATATGGTTTTTTACTCTGTTTTCAGTTGCTATCTTTTTAATTTCCACAGGGGAATTAAGACAAAATGGATGATTCTGTTAAATGTGTCCTTATTTTCACATGATTAGCATTTCAAATACAAATCTATGCCTAATGATGATGTATTTTCTTCTTTTTTTTTAACTATTTAGACGTTGATGGACCTTTATTTTATTCATTTATTTATACATGGTGCTGAGAATCAAACCCAGTACCTCATGTGCTAGGCAAGCACTCTACCACTGAGCCACACATAACCCCAGCCCTGATAATATATTTTCAAAGATACAGATATAACTTCACAAAACTGTGACACAAATAGCTTTTCCTTTTCTACTTTGACTTGACTTTGAGTTAAAGGTTTTGCTGATAGAGAATGGAAATTATAGTTTCAATGGATTTGATGAGCCAGACTGCTGGAGTGCAACAGCCAAAGAAATGCAGAAAAATACTCTGAGACTTTCAGCTCCGTACACCTTCCTTCTGTGACCAGAAAGTGTTATGGCACAATGGAAGTCCTATAAAAACCAATTAAAACCAATAAAACCAATTCCAACAGAATGTGTTCCATAGAGAGATCTTTTTCCTATAATATCTGACACACAGTTTCCTTGTGGATGGAATACTTTTATTTTATTGTTTTTCCTCCTAAAGCAATATGGTTTTTTACTCTGTTTTCAGTTGCTATTCAAACACTATAAATAATGTGGCTAATGCCCAGAAAACACTGTTTTACAGATTCTGGCACATATAGCTTTTTTCCCCCCTGTTGCTGGGAAATTATCTACCCAGCCTATTGACTGCCTAAACCAGTGTAGACTATTGTCAAGAGTAGAGTTTGAAGCAAGATTTTAATCCTTTCATCAGCACATGGTACCCTCATTTTGATTTATAGTATGCACTTCATTTAGTTTTGAATAACTAATTTCTTACTTCCCTAAATTGGCATATATTATAATTGGAAGATGAATCACTTTTTATATCACTTTAGTTTTTCCCATATACAGTTTATAAAATTCCCAATTGTATTTCTTATCTTTTTCTAGAAATGTGACTATAAGTCTTTTTGGAAATGTTAAAATTCTGACTATTGAAGATAAAATTAATATTGTTAAAATCTATATGGTATACCTTAAGCATCAGGGTAACTGGATATTTCATAATCTGCAGCAGAGTCAGAGGTCCCTCCATTTCTACATCTTGAAGACTCTTCATGGTCTGTCTTTGTTTATGGTTTTCCTAATGGAAAGTGTCATCATTAAATCTATAGTTGATTTTTAAAGCCTGAAGAGTTTGATATTTAAAATATCCTGATATTATATTGTAAGCACACTTAATGGCTGCAAGACTTGGAGCTTATTCCAGAAACTCTTCCTAAATCATTTCAGCTATTAAATAAGAATAATAATGTGATATGTGAATTTATTTAGAGCCTTAGCATATTTCCTATGATATAATAAGTTTTTGTTATCTCTATGGAGTATTGTGGTTCACAGTGACCACAACAGTGCCAAGGAGTGATTTTTCTCTGACCAGAATTTAAGCAGTGTTAAGAGACAAGAACATTGTCTCATAGGTAGCTGTGTCTTATGAGCATTCATGCTTGTTTAGGAACAGAATGCTTTGAAGTCATTCCTACCTTACTGCTTCCCAGCTTTTATCTGTGCTCTGTCTCCTCCTCCTCAAAAAATTACTAACTGCTTCTACCACATTTTTTCACAGCTGTTAACATTTGAGCAATGTTTTGAAAATGTATATCCTTTGAGGTATTGTGAAAAGTGTCTTGTTGGGTCATTTGCTAGATTAGAAAAAAACAGATAAACTTGTAGCATTTTTTTTCTAAGGTGGGAACTGTTTCAAAATCCATTGATGTGGAAGAAAATACTAAAGGGGGTGACCAAAACATTTCTGTATCATTTTCCAAGGTGAAAGTAGACATCTTATTTAGGGCTGGAAAGCTGCAAAAGCTCCCTTCTTGAAAAAACAAGTTCTGTTTTGTTGGCTCCTTTTTTCAGGGAATAGCTGAGGGGCTGGCTCTGTCCTGAGGCATTAGTAGGAGGACTGCCCTGAGGGAATCCACTCCAGCAAAAGTGTTCATGGCATTTGTTCTCCTTGAGTCAGAGAGAGAATGCCTGGGGCTTTTGTCTCCCAGCAGACAAACTTAAATGGTTTATTGATAGAATTTAAGAATAAACTTTATATTAGCATATGCAGAATAATTCATTTATTATAGATTATTCCATTTCAAGACTATGTTTTAGTACTTTTCATTGCTGCTACCCAGAAGATGCTATAGACAATAGAGAAACTGCTTGATTGTACCCCAGAACTCTTTAAGTACATTAGTAGTGATAGTGTTAAAGGCAGATTATGCCCACTAGATGTTTTAACCTAATGTGCTTATTAATGATTTTATTTTCCCCTTCAGTTTGCATGGACTGTCATCATCAAGAAGGGTATTCACAGATGACATTTAACTTTGGGATCATTCTTACATCTTAGTGTGTGTTTGCCCAGTTTCTCATGCATGTTTTGGTGGGAGTGCTGTCTTATAATTATATAGCTTGCTGTACACTGTAAAAGCAAAGTCCATCTTGAGAACTGAACACTGGCATTAATATATAATTTCTACTAGGCCTAAAATGATAAATAACCCATATGACCAGAGATTAAGAGTGAGCCTCTGAAAAGTTAGGCATCAGTGCTAGTGAGATTATTTCATCTCCATTTTCTATACTGGCTCTCTATTTCTAACTATGCAATGTGGGATGGAAATTTACTGGAAAACATATATTTTCTTAGTTCTATTTGGAGAAGGCAGCATTGATTAATATGTCTGAAAGAATAAATTTCATCCAATAAATTGGCTTTTTATTGATCTTTTGGTTAAATTATAAGACTTTGTGTGTTTGTGTAGATATATACATGTATGTGCATAGTATACCATAGATATGTGTATTTTGTTTGTTTGCTTTGAGTATACTATAAACTTACATCACTGTGTTACCATAACATCTTTCCATATATGTTGAAGATTTTCATATATGTTAGGGATATTTTTTAGATATTCATAACAATAAGGTTTTTACTTATCCATGATTTCTTAACATGAGAATATACTCCTTGATTATAGATAATAAGGCAGCTCATTTTCATTTCCAAAATTTGCTTCATATTTTGAAACATTTTAAAAGGACACACATTACAGTAATCTTAGTTTTTACACAAGTCTATGACTGCCTAAAAAGCCACTCTACATTTATTTGTGCCAACATTTCTTTGGTCTCTGTTACCTGCAGTGACTCTAGACAACAAATAGTCTGACATCATTCAGCATTTATCTGGGGTGTGGAGTGGCTTGCATACCAGTAGGTACAGGGCATTTTGTGTGTGTGTGTGATTACATTTGGAATCTTAAGATTCCTAGAGCCTGATAAGGAAAATTTATTTATTACTTTGTTGTATTTATTTATCACTACATATTTGAGTATCTACTCTTTGCTGTGTCCCAAACTAGATAGTAGTAGGAGAGAGATGAGCTTACAGATCCGGTTTCTTTCCTGACCACATTTGCAACCTACAGAGTTAACAAATGAGTCTAATAGAAAACAGTAGAGCAACTAACAGAATTTGATGTATGGAAGTGTCTGAGTAGAGGGTAGTGGATCAGTAGAAGGCTTTTTCAGGATTCACCTGACAATAGGATGGTGATCTGAGCAAGATTTAGAGCAATAACAGGAGAGGAGAGGTTGAGGTTCAGAGAGACCCAGAAGACAAAGTCAAGAATTCTGAGGAAGAGTGCTATAAGGATTCAAAGATGGTACCTACTTTTCTATTTTGAGTAACTTGTTAGATGTTAGGTACCACTCACAAATACAGGAGCAGGAAAAGATTAGTTAACTTCTTCCATATACTTGTTTAGTTTCAGCTGCCTGTGGAGTATTTCATCTGTAGGAGAGCAATGAGGTAAGTGAGTCTATGCCTGAAAGGAGAGATGTGTCTTAAAGATTAGAAGGATATTAATCACTGGAATATTGTATGCACGTTGTCATACAATGTGGAGATAAATGAAATTTAGGGTGGGGGAAAAGAAAGCTAAACACAGATGAGAAGGCGGATCTCCTTCTCCATCAGCATCTCTCCACTCCTCCTTAAATCTAAAACGTTGTCAAAAGTGAAATATTGGCCCAAATACATACCCAGTGACTTTTTAGGCACTACTAGAAATATACCCTACAGCTTTTAAGGAAGAAAACTCCAGCTATGAATGGTGACCATTAAAAATAGCTTACTTCATGTTTCTGTAATTTAACAAATACATATTTATTGGGCGAGTTTTTTTTTAACTGCATTAGAATTCTATATATATAAAAATTCAGAAGTACATTAATTACATTGTTTACCTAGATAGCCTTTCTTGGAACCCCATAGGTCATTGACATTCTGTTTCCACATGGATCAGAGATGCCTTTTACTTTATCTTAGCATAATCTGTGCATGCACTAATGTCTCTCTGTTAACCTACTTCTCAGCTCAGCAGCAGATGCAGCCAGCAAGGCGGATCTCCTTCTCCATCAGCATCTCTCCACTCCTCCTTAAATCTAAAACTCTCTTTTCTCTTGGCTCTTCTTCTTCCAGTGATGATGAGGAGGAGTTGCATAGTAAGTAAGCAACTTTGGTGTCAACTGGCTGTTCTCCAACATCTGACCAGCTCTAAAAATGCTGTAGGCTTGGTACTGAAAAGTTGTTTGAGAACTTTACTCCTTGCATGCCATCTTTTATAAATCATTTGACTTCATGCGTGAAATTTTATAGAGATGAAATAGTTCTTGTCTTTCGTACACTACTGACCCTGATCAATCCAGTGGCCTCCTGAGTTCAAGGCAAAGTGCATCTTTCCAGAACACTATACTTTCCTAACACTATACTTTCTTTTCTTCTCACCATTTCAGAACATCTCTTTAAAAACATAATTTAACTTTGAGACTAGCACCTATAGATTAGGGGATGGGTCTCCTTTTGAACTTTTATTTTATCTATATTTCTGTCCTTTTGGCAAACTAGAGGTTTCAGATGAATATAGTCTTAATAAAACCTAGTTTAAAAACATTATAAGATAATGTTTTAGTAAACTTGGAAAGGAAATGAATCCCCCTTCATGAAAATGATTGTCTTCTATTGTACAAAATTTATACAGTATTACAGGATTGCTGTTTTTAATAGAAACAAATTTCTATTACAAAGTTAAATAATGAATTTCTTTCATTTTATAGAACTTACATTATGACTTTAAAACATTTAAGTCTGTGTAATTGAGAACCCTAATCCTCTTCCTCTTGCTGATCCATAATTGTAGCAGTGTGTTAGTATTGCTCTGGCTAGCATTTTGCATTATTTTTATGTAAAAGTGTCTTGGGCACAGTAACAAACTTCAGTTGGTTTAGTTAGCTTAGTTTTAAATGGAGTATTAGTGTTCAGTAGATTTTTCCACTGTTAAAAGATATTTGAGAAATAAACACACAAAAATATATTTACATTACATTACCAGCTATAATAGGAGGAAAGTTACAAAAATCCACTTTAACTTTGAATTGAAATGAGTTCATCTTTAAGTTTCTGAAATTCTCCAAAGCTGTTTCTTCATAGTGAATTGATAATATTCTCCAGGTCATCATGACAAACCAACCAATGTCCCAATAGTATTTTTTCTACCACCAAAACAGAATTATAATCCACTGGTCACTCAGTAATCCAACATGATGGAGTCCTTAAAGTATAGAAATTGATGAAGAAACCTTTGAATCAAATGTGTAGTGTTTCTCAAAATGTGTTCTTTCAATTCAAAAACACCAGTGGGAATTATGGCAGGGTGAGGAGGTGGGTGAAGAAAAAAGAAGGAGTTGGTTCATACCTGAATAAAGTAATAAATCTCTGGGTTAAGCAGATGCACACACATTTATTTAAAATGATAAATAAATAAGTGCACACACATTTATTTAAAATGATAAATGTGTGTGCATTCTAAAATTCCAAGGCAATATTTGATATGCTGTGTTTCCCATTTTTATCAGCTAGGAAATCATAAATGTACAGAGCTATCTATAACATTTCATTAAACAAGTGTTCCATGGAACATATTTTGAAAATTATTGGTCCTGACGGTCTAGTAGTTGCAGCTGAAAGTCCCTGTATGTATATACTATAATAGGTCTGCATGTTATATTGCACCTTCAAAATAATCTGGTTAAAATGTTATTTACCTGCAATAATATCTTTTGGACTAACTTTAACCAAAATCTCTGATTTTGTGATGGATATAACTTTGGTTGTTTTGTATTCTCAGATACTGTGAACACTTATTGAAAAGTTAGCAATATTACAGGCATTGGTGAAATAATCAGTATTCAGAACACCTCTAAGAAGTCATAGTAACTGAACTAAAAAAAAAAAAAAATTGGCAGTGAATAAGTTGGGAATACTTACAGGAGTCATAGATTTCTCCCAGTACCTAATCACGTTTGTTCAGTTTTTAATTTATTCCATTGAAATCTACTAATAGCTTATCCCTTGCCAAGCTTTGTGTTGAGTATTTTTCTGCAATATTTATTTTATTTTTATCACTAGATGGCATCTTACTAGGTATTTGCTTAAAAGTATAGCAGAATACTGGCAGCCTGAGGTAATTAATGCTGCTTCTATCATCAAAGTCCTCTTGAGTGGAAATCATTTTAAAGCCACTGGTTAAAACCACCATCTTGATTTTTTTTTTTTTTTTTTTTTTTTGGCTAACTAAGACATCATGAGGTTAAAATGGTATGTGGAAATTGTACATTGATAATTTCATACCTAAATGGTGCAGAACCTGGAATATTGAGCTCAGATATCCTTATTCTTGCCCCACTGATCTTTTCCTGTCACCTGGCTATTGTTACCAGGCCTTGTAAGTGAAGTAGAAGATCCCCAAGTAGAGAAAGAGAAAAAGCATAGAAGCCATTCTCTTGAAGATTAAGGATTATTTTTAGAGTTTATAATGCATTATTCCCACCTATTTAAATTTAACTATTTAAATTTCTTATAGTAATAACTAACTAGAATTTTGCATTTCTATTCAGATCCTAGAACAGATGGGGAATTTAAAATAATCTGAGAATCTAGTTGTGGAACATCTTCATATCTGTAGCAGATTAAAGTTTTTTACTCAGAGTAATCTCAGAGATCCTTGAAACTAACCTCAAAGAGAAAGAGTATATGTTGTCTATGTGGTAATAGTACTTTTACTGAGCAAGCTGTATCTATCTGGAATATACATGGAAAGTATTTCTATACCTGGTCTCACTAAAAATTGAAACCCATTTATCATTTTGTGACTGGGGCCTTGCTTTCAAGTCCTCAGTACTCAAACTGCATTAACATGATAGATGGAAATAATGATGCTGTTCCTTCTGGGTTTTTTCTCCCTGTTTCCCTGCTGTCTGATTTAGCCTTGGATTGTTAATGGGTTACTTCCATTAACAAGAAAGAAAGCATCTGCCCCGTTCATGTTATCACTCTTCCCCTGGAAGGACTTTATCATCTGTTTTATCCCCAGTATTTCACAGACTGAGGAATGAACTGAAAACAAAATGTCTTGCCCTAAGTTAGAGGCAGGGCCAAGACTTTACAAAAAGCAAGCTCTGATGCTTCCCCCTGATCACTAATCTGTTTCTAGAAATTCTTAGGAAAATGTCAGATAATATTAAATTTTTAGTATATAAATATGTGAAAGAAGGATAAACAATGAAAAATATGACATTTTAATTTTTTATTTTATAAATTCTCCCTGTGACATCATTTAGGAAAATGGCATGTGGAAATGTGGAAATTGTACATTGATAAGAACATAAATAAGTTTAAGCATTAGAAAAATGTTGATTTTTCCCCCCCAGGTGGTTCAATCTTGAAATAAATTTATTTTATTCATGGGAAATCCATATTGCTATCTTTTTCCAGCTCTAATTTGAAGGTTTCAAGTTCTATTTTTCCTTCTTCCAAAACCTGTGAAGGGAGGTAGCACCGTACACTGACTTTCAAACTCTAAGTTGCTTTAGCTATGGGAAAATCTTGAAATAGTTTATCTGTCAGTAGGGTAAAATTCTTTTGTTTTAACTTTCCCTTTCCCTTTTTTGTTTCCTAGATTCACGGCCTTTCCACAGCACTAGTGCTAATCTGACTGAGAGGTACTGTCCATTTATTTTGTCACTCATTTTCCCAGAATGAAATTAAGAAAATCTAAACTATGCTATTTCATATAATTAAGAAAACTTTTTTGAGCTCATTGGGTTCTTACTTCCTTGAATGGTAAATTTGGAATAATTATCAGAAGTAGTTTTATAATGAAGGTTATCTCTCTTTTTTCTAAATTAGAACATTATAGTTACACATAGTAATTGGGTTCATTTTGACTAAACCATACATACATGGTGAAGACTATATCTTTTTAAATTATTATCTTCAGTACTTTTCCACTTTTATTCTTTAATATTGCCCTCGTGATAAAGATTCTTATGTGCATTTATTTATTTAAAGGTACACTTATATTTGACTTCATGACCTTATGCACATGTTGTGTGTGGGAACTTTTCTTTATCTTTTCAAGAGCATTGGTTTTTATGCCATTTGTCTTTTATCTTAAAAACAGACTACTTTGTTTTGTAAACAATGTGTATATCAATAGAATTTAGCTTTTGAAGGGAACACATTATAGTCCTACTTCTGCCTGCCTTCTCACTGAGGCCAATACTGCTGGATCTGAAGGAAAGATGTAAAATAACTGTTCTCAAACACCTAAACAAGGTAGTATAAATGGATTATTTCTCCATTTAATGGATTATTTAAGTATTCTTTAAGAAAATTGTCCATTGTGAGTTTTTTAAGGTCAAAACATGCCTATCTTGGATGGACTTGGATTTTATATAGGCTTCCTAAACAAGTAGATCAGTAAATCTGGATCTTTTCTGTGTTCTGCTTGGAATTGCCTGATATTCAGTATATTTCCTCCTAAAATTGTGCATAGCCTCATGGACCAGTTCACAGTCTTGATTTTTCCAGTGTGCCAGAAGGCTAGAAAATATGTGCAAAACTCTACTACTAAGCAACTTGGATATGCAGTCAGTCATAAGATTCATTGGTTCACAGCCCAATGAGTAATTAAGTACTCTTATTCTATTATATATACAGAATTTCCTTTCAAGAATCTATTTGTTACAAAGTAGTTTAGAGATTGAGTGCTATTTTAGATTAAGAAGTTTGAGATACAGTAATTAATAATCTTGTTCTTAGATATTATATAAAACTCTTCAACAGCCTCTGTACAACTCTTATTCTTCCATTTAACTTCTGTAGTCTTTAAAAAAACATTTTTTAAAAATCTCAATCTTGTTTTTATTTAGTATAACTGAAGAAAACTATAACTTCCTGCCACAAAGCCCCTCCAAGAAAGATTTTGAAGGGAAAAGTGGAACAAAAGTCAGTCGTACATTCAGCTACATCAGGAATAAAATGTCCAGCAGTAAGAAGAGCAAGGTAAGTATCACATGGGCATTCCTTGTGTGACTACCTCAGTCGGTAATGAGTAAGCTCATGTCACAGCCTGCACACACCCAAAAGCTAACTAAATGATGGGATCATAAATGGAAATAAATTCAGGGTCATCTCTGAAACAGCCTAGTATATGAAGAAAAGTAATAGTAATAAAAAACAGCAGCAAGAGGTGAGGCTACTTACTGAGGTTTTACTACATGCTAAGGGCCATTCATATATTGCTTTATTTAATCCTTTCAATGACTGTGTAAGATAGGTCTTACCTCCTTTCTCTCGGAGTATGATACCTTATCTAATGTGGAAATAGAAATTCAAACCTAGATTACTTTGACTTCTGGTCCCACACTCGTAGCCACAGTGCTTAAATTAGTAAATTAGGTTTAAAATGCAGTAGAAGGATTTAATGCCAAGATTAGGGGACTGAAAATATATATAGTGCTTGGGTTTAGAGGGAAGAAAATTCTCACACAGAAAATTACAAGCACTTTTAAAACTAATTTAATATCCTCTTTAGTGCTTAAGAAATTATTTAGTCTCAACTTTTTATCTAGTTTATTCTTACATTTTTATTTTAGGAATCTTCAAAATATAAAAGCAAGAAAATAAAAATCATTTGATAACCCCACATAGAAATAAATATTCTTAACATTTTTAAATCAGTGGTGAGAAACTTTCTGCCTTCCATTTCCTCTGTACTCCATTCACCTACTCACATATGCTCCCGTACAATTAAGAATAAGTAAACAAAAATTTGAAATCAAAGTACTCTTATAAGGAATCATTGTATACATCTGTGTGTTGTATATACAAATATGTATGAATACATAAACACATTTAGAAGTTGAGGGAATAAGCACAGAACTCAAGGATATTGTTATATAAATATACCCCCTTGCCTCAGCACTAAGTCTGTTGTACTCTCAATTAAATGGGCTGATAGAACTAAAACCAATGTATTTTACAGATTTTTGTGAATAAGATCTCTTTTTTAGCAAATACTAAGTCATCACTCAAAGGAATTTTTCCATAAAATTTTCTATCAGAATTGTGTCTTCTCTGTATTTATCCTGCCCAATTGAAAAAGAAGAGAGAGTCAACAACTGGGAAAAGATGCAGTCTAGCAATTCATTTCTAGCTTAATCACATATTTAAATATTAACTTCTAGAGCTCACAGCCTTGACCTTGAAAATTTTTATGATATGATTTTTTATGATTTTAGAATTTTTTATAGTGTTTTTAAACTACAAATCTTGTTTTCAAACAAACTTTTAATTGGAAGATCAGTGAGTAAGTAGATTCCTGTTTCTATCAATGTCCCCAATTACATGGATTTTTAGAAGAGTTCAGTGAATATACCACTGATGTTGATGATATAACAAGACTTTTTTTTTTTTAAAATCGGTGTAAGACTGGATTTAGAAACTGGAACCTGACCTTTAAGAAAATCATATCCCAGCCTCCTTACTTAACAGACTGAAGCACAGAGAAGTATGCTTCAAGCCACAGAACTTTATTAAGGCAGTACCTCTTGTGATTTGACCAGCAAACAACACTGGTCATTTTATCTTACTTTTTTTTTAATATTTATTTTTTAGTTTTAAGTGGACGTAATATCTTTATTTTATTTTTATGTGGTGCTGAGAATCGAACCCAGTGCCTCACGCATGCTAGGCAAGCAGGCTACCACTTGAGCCATTTCCCCAGCCCCTCATGCTTACTTTTATACAACGTCTATTATTAAGCAGTATATATTTTTCCTTTTTTCTTCTTTATAATTTTTTCCCCTAATCTCAGAGGATTAGAGTTAGGGAGTTGAGATAGAAGAAAAGTTGACAATTTTTGTTAGAGGGAAATTTGTCATCACTGGCAGAAGCAGTTGACCTCTTGCTTCTGATCATCTCCTTCATCAAAATGACAATACTCTTTTGTAATTGAGACTGGTTCCTCTTTTGGATTTGACTTCAAGATTTGATCTTTGGGGGCTGGGGATGTGGCTTAGGGGCTGGGGATGTGGCTCAAGCGGTAGCGCACTGGCCTGTCATGCGTGCCGCCCCAGGTTCGATCCTTAGCACCACATACAAACAAAGATGTTGTGTCCGCCGAGAACTAAAAAAAATTAATAAATATTAAAAATTCTCTCTCTCTCTCTCTGTCTTTCAAAAAAAATGTGTATTTAAAGAAAAAAAGACTTGATCTTTGGAGGCTGTGCTGTCTCTAGCAATGGAAACTCAAAAAATTACAGATGCATAATCCTGGGTTGCAATCTCTTTTCCATTATCAAGTATCAAGAGTGCCCCAGTGGCAAAGTATATTAAAACATCATCTTTCATAGTTAGTTTTTATTAACTTTTAAATAAGATCATTATGAACCTTCCTGTAGAAATGCTTGGATTTTGTTAGTGTCAGCAAAGATAATAAGAAATGGGGAAATAGTGAAGTTATACATGCTGTGTTGAGTTACATTAATTTCCCTGTCTCAAGATGCCACATGTCCACAGAAGACCTTTGCCATACAAAATCATTTTATTTTCTAATTGATAGCACAAGAATAAATAAATATATTTTTTAGCATGATGATTCTCATTCTCTTTTCTTAACTACTAAATAATATTACTTCTCCTTAATGATAAAAAACTAATATAGGGCTGGGGATGTGGCTCAAGCGGTATCGCGCTCGCCTGGCATGCATTCGGCCCGGGTTCGATCCTCAGCACAAACAAAGATGTTGTGTCCGCCAAAAACTAAAAAAATAAATAAATATTAAAAATTCAAAAAAACCCCTAATATAAATGTTAACACTAACTTTTCTATGAAAATGTTAAATTTTCACTTCTTTCTAATTATTTTTAAGTATACGCTATCAAAGTCAGCTTGTCTTATTCATCTCCTGAACAAATATAACCATGCCTGCTTCTTCTAAAGGAAAAATTTAAGCTACTGAATATCATATTAAATTGGCACCTATAATTCTTATCTATGGGTGGTTTGGAAATTTCTGCTTTTTTTCTGCATGATACGTGTGTTTATATAAAAATAGCTTATAGTTATTAGCCTAGATTTATTACATTAAATATATTAAATTTTGACTGTAAACACTTCTTTAAAAATATTCAAAGAAGCCCAAACTCATTTGTTTTCCTATCAGCCTATCAGACTTTCAAAGGTAATGTACTCTTAGCAGAGTACATTAATGTTTATAAAGATTTAAGACAATGTTAAGTCTAATTCTCTCCTTTCTTCTTTAATTAAACAGCAAATTATTCACCTTCCTGTTATATTTTGCCTGTAAAGGAAATTTAATTATCAATTCTTTCACATGTCCTTTTGAGAGTTATCAATAACTGATTTGCTATTGGATAAATATGTTGAATGTTTTCAGGAAGGAGTGGAGGAGCCTAAACAGGAAGTATAACAGGAAGACTGATAGTTTCTGCTTTTGTCTTAGTATCTTAGAGAGGTAGTTCTGTTTCCAGCTAAGTAGGTTTACTTGTTAGCAGTATTTAAACACTCAAATATAATGTTCAGTTTCATAAAGAGAGTGGATTGACCATCCTATTGCTCTAGTTTTCTCTCCTGCTAAGCTTTCCTTTTTGCAGAGATAGCTAAAAGATGGTTAGATAACGTTATAAACCAATTCTTAGTCTAACTGAACAAAGGCATTTTTTAGAGTACATGGGTAAAATTCCTACTCAGCTAATATACTACATTACCTTTACAGCAAAATATTCAACTCCAGCCCCTATGGTTTGTTTAAAATAGAACTATTCCCATCAGCCTATCAGATTTTCAAAGGTAATGTACTCTTAGCAGAGTACATTAATGTTTATAAAGATTTAAGACAATGTTAAGTCTAATTCTCTCTTTTCTTCTTTAATTAAAGATTTGTACCTGGACAGTTGTTTAATCACATTGTTTTCACAGTTGTCCAGCGCATTCTGTTGTTGTTGTTGTTGTTGTTTTTTAACTACAGTTACTTGCCTAAAAAGAAAGACTTAGAAAAGTGAAAATACATTTTCTTTCATAGTATCCTATTATAGTAACATAGTTGATACCTTTCCTTTTTAAATACTGTTAGAGTCTGTTTCCACACCACATAGTTAAAACATTTTGACAGTTATTAAAGGTGAACAAGTCAAACTTGAGAAAACAGTCAACCACTACTTTATCATAGGCAACTTCACTAAAAACATTTATGAATTCTGCTTTTTTATAAAATTGGGGGTTTGAAAGTAAATAAATTAATATATATTCCTTCTAGCATTAAAAATACCATCAGCCTTTGCAAGAGTTGCCCTATTGCAATGCAAGCACTATCCACATACACTGTAGCTTTGTTTCATTTCCTGTGTCTTTTATTAGTGGGGTAGTTTTACTAGGCAGCATTCAAATAGTTAAGATTGTCTTAAGGAAACCAGCAGCCTCAGCCCTCCCTCCTTCCCTTTCTCAACCAGTCTCTGGCTTCCTCTTACGGTTTCGCTAGTGGCAGTGCAAAGCTGCTGAGCTCTGCCCTGCAGGCATGAGCCCCTCCTTCTGTGAGAGCACATTTCCTGGCATGGGGGTCGAATCATGTCGCTAAAATGGGGTCGGCTTCCTGAAGTGCCCCTCATAACAGTGAGACTCACAGGACCAAAACATGGGGAGGTAAGAGTCAAATTCTAAAACAGATGAAACAATGTAGTTGGTTTTGTTTTTATCCATAAAGAACTAGTTTGAGTTGCTGCAAAGGTTGAAGGAATTATTTATTCTAATTTGAAGAGCATTACAAGGTTTTAGAGAGTAAACTAATTGTCATAGAAGATTCTTTTAACTACTACAGCATGCTTTTGGCTTTCTTCAGCAAAGCATCAGATGCTTTTCAGTTTGATGTTTTATGCATGGAGAAACCTTTAACAAAATTTAGTAGAAAAAAAAAGGAGCTATTTGGAAGAACTCAATTTTTGTTATTGATTTTTATTTTGACTAGAATTTTGTATACTTTAACAGTTGCCAATTTTCACCTAGCACAGTTTCCTTTTTTTTTTTTTTTTTTTTTTGGTAATGTAAAGTAGTTTTTCTCCCTTCTTCTCATTATTTTGTATAGTTGGAAAACATACCATTTTGGTGCTCAGTTTTTGTGTGTTCTGTTAATAAAGAACTTCACATGCATCAAATATTCACCATTTCAGTATGGTAGATAGGTTCTGAACAGAAAGTCAGAAAACCTGGGTTCTAATTTTGACTTCTCATTTGCTTTGTGAACTTTTGCAAGTTAACAGATCTCTCCAGCCCTTGATGGTTAGTATGATGAATGAGAGTGCAGCTTTAGAGTCAGCCAAATATGAATCTTAATTCCAGTTTGAGCAATTGTTGATGTGTGGCTTCAAATAGATTATTAAACATCTCTAAGCCTCAGTCTCTTCATATGTAAAATGAAGATAACTTGTATTTAATTCATTGGGATGTTGTGAGAAACTTATGTAAGTCACTTATTACAATGTTTGGTACGTAGCAACTTTTCAGAATTTTAACTTATTTATCTTCTCGATTGTAAAATGGAAATCTTAATACCTACCCTGCCCACTTCAGAGTTATTGAATCAGATGAAATAATTTATATAGAAGGCATTGATTTAAAATGTTAGGCATTTAGTAGTTGTCATGATCACTAACTGAGGAACCCATTTTCCAGGTGTTTATCTAGATGATAACAATAGTATACAGCAGTAGTAAAACTCCTGCCAGTATGTATTGTAGTTCTTTCAGTTGATTTGAAAAGAAATTCCATTGCTGTTGATTAGCCAGCTGAGTGCTTTGTCAAACAGTGCTTCTTTTAGAACTTTTTAGGGAGAAAAACTTTAGGTCCCCACAGTTCCATATAGTGTTTGCTTGAAATGTCCCTATTTTATGTGTTTCATTAAGTATCTGGTATTCTGCAGTATTTCTTCAGATTTTCAAGGTTTAAATTCTTTTCCATTTCATTTTGTGCCTGTATAAGTGTTGATAACAACCCCTCTTAGATTGAGATTTGACATCACATGAAAGCCCTCTGCTTTCAATCAGTCTCCAAAAATGTCATTTTTGACATTTCTATATTGTCTTGAGATAACATCACCAAGCATTCTGGTACTCAGAAGTCTTACACCCAATCCAGGCAACCTTTTTCTCATTGGATCTAGTCTCTAGTTTTCCAGTATCCCCTGAGCCTTGGACCTGGCCCAGGTAGGCTGCCCAGTCGCCAGAAGGCCGGGCACACAGTGAACTTAGATACATGTCAGTTTTCTGTTCCCCCTGACAGGTGAGGGAAGACCTTGTGAAAAGAAGGGCACATTGTAAAGAAGATCAGAGAGCAGATATTGGGATACCTTGTCTCTTCAAACCATAGACAGTCTTCCACCTTTACTTATAGGGCCTCAGGGCAGAGGAGTGAGCAGCTAGGCCTTGGGACTTCCTTTCTCTGGGTACCCCTTTTCTTAAAGGAAGTGACCACTGTGGGTAACTAGGCTGAGGGGACAAAGGAGGTAGTTTTTAGAGTGGTTGTCAACAAGATTTCTTCCTCTCATCATTTTCATACCCCCTATCTTCCTGGCTCAGCAGCAGTGTCTTTGCCATTCTTCAGTTTTCTTTGTCTTCCTTCCTCATGTCACAATTTTCTTTCTCTCACTGCCAGGTAAATATTTCTATGTTGCACTAAGAGAGTAATAAACTAATGAAGCTCAGTGAGGTATGAATAATTATTATAACAATTTAATAATTGCTTGCTAAGAGCCAGACACTGAAAAACGCTTTCCATGTATTGTCTTGTCTAATTTTTTTAAAACATGGAATTGGTACCTTCCTCATTTTACAAATGAGGAAAATGAGGTTCAGCAAATTAACTTGTACCCCTTCATACCATTAATAAGCAGTAACGGTAGAACTTGAGATTTTTACCCAGGCCTGACTCCGTTGTTGTTTTGGTTTTTTGTTTGTTTTTGTTTGGTTGGTTGGTTGTTTGATTGGTTTTCCTTTTTTTTCATTGTCCACATTATTAAGAACTGTGCAATTTTTTGTTCTCTGAGCAACCTCTTCTTCCCAATTTGACTACAAGAGGAATATAATATCTATTAATCTTGGAATTCTAATTAGTGAAAACTGTATATGTGGGGGATATTTAGTAATTTGGGCTATAATAAGGAGGAAATATCAGAGACGCTTCTCACTTAGGGATATGTGACTAGTATGAAAAACAGAGGAGCCTCAGTAATTTTTCATGCTTTATGATTATCTGTTCTTTTCCACAAGCTAACCCAGAATTGCTACTATTCCTTTTTGTTCCTTGCCTAAAGCTGACCCTCAACTCAATACTTTATTCCTATGTGGACTATGCTATGGCATACCGAGGAGACCCCTCATTGCCCATTGTTGGTCATTAGTCATTGTATCTAGTGGTATAAATAACCCTGAGTGAGCCACTGTCCAAACTGTGGAACCTGTCCAGTTTTCATATGATTTTTCTAATGCAGTTTTTAAAAAATGCCCAGAACATTATTTTCCAGTTTTATCCAAAATAGTCACCAACCACCCATAGGCTATTTGGGTGCTCAGGTAATGGGGGATGACCTTACAGTATACTTGTATAAATTGTTATTAATTGTTGATCTTTTCTTTGGCAGGAAAAGGAAAAAGAGAAAGATAAAATTAAAGAGAAGGAGAAAGATTCTAAAGAAAAGGAGAAAGACAAGAAGACTCTCAATGGACACACTTTCAGTTCCATTCCTGTTGTGGGTCCCATCAACTGTAGCCAGTGTATGAAGCCTTTCACCAACAGAGACGCCTACACTTGTGCAAGTAAGAGATGTGCTTCTTCCTTTCATAAGATGAACCTCTCTTGGCTCAGGAAAGCTCATTTCTAATTTCCTGTCCATCCCACCCCTTATCTGTTCCTCATTTATGTGGAGAAGTAGCCCTGTTTACATTTTTCTTCAAACATCAGTGAAGAAATTAATTCCAGATATCTAATATACAATCTGTATTTTTTTTTCAAAAGCCCCATTTGCAAATACTCTTGTCTTTCTATTCATAAACCACCACCTATTCCGGAAGTCTGTGTCAGCATCAGAGTTATCAGTAGCCTCGAATCCTAAAGTCACCCTTGTCTAGACCATATATGCCCACTTTTAAATCTAGTCCTTCAGTATATGTTTCAGCCACTTGCCAACATTAAGTCAGAATGACTGCCACGGGGGACAGGACCTTTGTATACAGGTGCTCTGTGCCAATCCACTGCTGGCCTTCCTGCAGCCATCTCAGAGGCAAGTCTGTTAACTGAGTGGGCCCCTGGTTTTGATAAGACACTCTCAGGCCAGAGTCAGTTAACTTTCTCTATATAGAACTTTGATAATAAATATCTTAGGCTTTGTGAGCCATCGGGGTTTTTTTTCACAGCTACTGAACTCTCCACTTAAGTACAAAATTATCCATGAACATATAAATTAAAGGGTATGGCTTTGATGAAATTAAACATCATTTATGGATATTTAATATTATATAATATAATATTATGGACATTAAAATCTAAATTTCATACATTTTTTACATGTCATGAAATATTTTTAATTTATTTTTTCAGATCATTTAAAATGTAAAAGACATTCATACATCCTGGGCTACACAAAAATAGGCTACAGGCCAGATTTGGCTCACACACCGTAAACTGCAAATCTGCTTATAAGGCATTATATCTCAAAAGTTTTTCATTGCACACATAGAAATTAATAATTTTTGTTGAGCGTACAGAGGTAAATCAAGGAGTCTGCTTTGGTCAGAGGCGACCTGTCTGGAGATCCAGCTATCCCAGGGCCAGCCAAATCACTTAGAAGGCCAAGGTGATTAGAATAATATACCTGTAACCAAAACAATGACAAACTCAAATTCCAAAGATCAAGTCCCAGATCATGATGTCATAACATTTTGTTTTTAGTCATTTGTGTTGAATATTCTAAGTAATCTGTTACTGAAAAAAAAATGTTAATTTGTAAATAGTAAATTTTTAAAACTTTATCTGGACAGAAGTTAATTCTATAATAATTTTTACTAGCTTTCTTGAATAAGAGCAGCAAAGAACCTGTAGGTAGCAAAGGACTCGAAGCCTCTTTTATCTATATAGCTATAGCTGTTTTGAGTTTTAAATGACTGGCTTTATCCCAAACATTCTTGTAAAATTGTTTCTGTGGATGTTACACCTCCAAAATAGTCTACACCCCTATTCATTTTGCTGTTTTATTTAAAAACAAACACTTGGAAGCATTCATCTAAATCTTTGTGTATCCTTGTAGACAAAGATCACACACATTGCTATTACCCTTCACTAGTGACTTACCACAAAATCAAAAATTTCTACTATATGGTGATGAGTATCTTGTGACCTTTAAGAAATAAGAGGCCATTCTTTTGTCCAGTAGCCCTTCAATATTTTTATTTTAGAACCCATGTTCTAGTAGTACTGTTTCCTAGAACACCAGTTGATGTCTACAGTTTAGACTTTTAGACACTAGACACAGTCTGCTTCTTAGTATTAGAATGACTTGTTTACTTAGAGTAGTAGACACCGAGTGCTTTTTAGGCATGTTTATCATTAAAACATTTTTTAGGATATTTACACAGGGAATATACATTTAATGTAAAAATTACAGGAGTCTTTGTATACTTAATGAAGAGCTCATTCTAAGAATCAAAGAAGCCTCAAATTTGCCATTTACTTGTACAGTTAATATTGTCTTTGATTCATGACTTCTTAGAGGAATTATGTAGCTAGCTCTCTCTTTCATTTTGTTTTTGTTTAAACAAGATAGTACAAACCGTAAGCCCACTTAATTGGGTATCTATGTATTTCCATTTATCACAAATATAGTGAGAGTGAGCAAAAGGTGGGTTCCACATTTGCATTGTGCATTCCTAGTCCACCTCTGAAGTAAGGAGCACCCCTTCCTCCCTCAGGAGACCTCTAGTACCATTATATAAAGTGAGGCTGCCTAATAAAGATTGAGTGAGGCACCAGTAAATCAATCTATATATTAACTCCATTTTTCTTTGAAGTGGATTAAAATGACAGCTCTAGGGAGTGGGGGTTTAGCACAGTGGTAAAGCACTTGCCTGGCCTGCAAAAGGTACTGAGTTCTTTCCCCAGCACTGGCCCCTGCCTCTCCAAAAGAAAGAATTAAATGAGAGCTGTAGAAATTTCTTGCCATATTCCAAAGGATCATACTGATCTTGGAAAAGGCCATATTTTTTTATTGGCATCATTAAATTTATATTCAAGGAGCTTCATCACTAAAGCAGAATTGGATACCTACTCTCTGTTTCACAACATAAAAATGCTGGGTAAAATGTATATATATGTACGTATACATATGTATGTGTATGCATATATGTGAACACATATGTGTGTATGTACATATGTTAATGAATATACAGCTGAAACTGCCAAAAGGAAAATCCCCTGAGTGAACTCAAATCAGAGCAGTAAAGAACATAACCCTCGGGCTGGGGATATAGCTCAGTTGGTAGAGTGCTTGCCTCTCACTCATACGGCCATGGGTTCAATCCCTAGCACAACAACAATAAAAATCCCTCGATTAGGGACAGGATATGTAGTCTTGGAGTATATAGTAGGAGCTAGAATTGAGAGCCTTGATAAAATGAAATGCTTCAAAAACTAAGATCTATGATGAAGGGCCTAGAAGAATTCCACTCACTGGCCTTAAAAAGCAGCAAGGGACTTTACCATTTCCACAGGATGCTGAGTGAAAATTCTAAATGATGCATGAATTGGGGACCCAAATTGTATATGTGCTTAAACCCAAAACTAAGGAATTTCACAACAGATTTAGTGAATCCTAGTTTAAGGATCTGCCACTGAAACAAATACAGAACTGCTCTGAGTGATAACTTTGACAAAAGAATATACCAAGAGTCTACCATGGAGGGAAAAAAATCCTAAGAAGCTGAGAACACAATAAAATACATAGATGCCATATAAGGAAGTAAACCACTCTACGGAACATTTAACAGATACATGGGCAAGAGAAGATATTGAAAATTACTATAAATTTAAAACAAAATCTATAATGAACAAGCTACAACATTTGGGTAAATATGAAAAGTAAGTGAATAAAACTTCAAGAATAAACCGGGTATGGTGGCACATACCTGTAATCCCAGTGACTTAAGAGGCTGAGGCAAGAGGATTGAGAGTTCAAACCCAGCATCAGCAACTTAGTGAGTCCCTAAGCAACTAAGCAAGACCCTGTCTCTAATAAAATATTTTTTAAAAGCTGGGGATGTGGCTCTGAGGTTAAGCACCCCTGGGTTCAATCCTTAGCAACCTGCCCATCTCCCCAAAAAAACCCTCAGGAATAGCAATAGTTGTTGAAGATTCTCTGTGGAGACTTCTCAAATATTTTGGTATTCTGTATCATCAGCATATTATTCACATTTGTAATTGTTTATTTTTTTTAAAGTTTTTTAGTTGTCAGTGGACCTTTATTTTTATTTATTTTTATGTGGTGCTGAGGATCAAACTCAGTGCCTCATAACTTGCTAGGTAAGTGCTGTACCCCTAGCCACAACCCCAGCCTTTATATTTATTAGTAAAGGAGGAAAATGGCTTCTGCTCTCTTGTCTGCTTATTAATAAGGTAAAAGCTGGCCAAATATCCTGAAAAATCTTGATGACTTCAGACTGGGTTTCTTTTTTACTTTTAAAATAATTCAGCAAAGATCATTTGCTCAAATTCTGTGAGCTGCTTTTTTTGTTATCGTGATCCATTCAGAAGCAGTTAAACAACAAATACCTTTGAGTACTAGTATGTGCCAACCATCTTTCTCAAGTTGCTTATATATTGGTTTATAAAAGTTGTTCTCAAAGTATAATTCTTGGTACTTAGATTAATGGTAACATCAGTTATAATGTAGAAAAGTTGAAATTAACCTAATTACCTTCAGATAAAATATAGTGTATGAATTAGATGAAATATTGGGTCAATACTAAAAAGAATAGGATAGATCAGGTGTTGCTAAACTTTTCTGCAATGGAACTGATGTTAGAATTTGTATCCGATCAGGTTTTTGCCATGACCCTACCCTTGTAGGATGAAAGCGACCGTAAATAATACATTTTAAAAAATGAATAAATTACAAAAGCAGGCTACAGGCTGAATTCAGCCCACAGAATATAGTTTACTAATGTCTGAGAGAGATCCACAGGAGTATACAGAGCTCTGCAAGACATTTCAGTGAATCGAAAAGGCAGCAAATAAAACAAAATGTATAGCATGATCCTAATATATGGAAAACAGATAAATGAACTAATTGTTTTTAAACACACAAAAATATCTGAAAGGATATACAACAAACTGTTAACCATCCAGAGAAAAAGAGATAAGAGGTCAAAGGGATCTTTTATTTTATACTCGTGTGTCATTTGAATTTTTTAAGAATAAGCTTATGCATTTGTATTCTTTAAAACACTATATATTGGACCATTGATAGTTTGAAAGTTTATTCTTGTTACTCGACAGCTGATCTATGATTTAAAAAAGCAATATATGTTCGAGTCAAGAATTTAATAAATAAAGAGCAAAATTATTACTGGAAAAAAAATTAGTTTCACAAGACTTGAGAGTTCTGCTAGCATCAACCTGAGAAAGTTCTATTGACTCTGTTCTGAGTTATGATGTGAAATATTATCAGAAAGTATAAGGATAAAAGAGAAAGTCATTTGAAGACAAAAAAAATCTTGTGCTGTAGAGAATATGGTTTTATAGTTAAAATGAATGAATGTATCTTGCC